ATAAATATTTAAATTAATTAATAGTATATTAACTAATATTTTTAATAGCACTAGCTATTTCTGAAATTTTTCTATTTGTTGTAGAAATATAAAGTTAATTTAAATATTAACAAATTTATACATTTTTCAAATACGTTAAATTTTAATACTCAAAGATTTATATTAAATTAATTAATAATTATACATAAAAGAACATTTTTTAAAAACTAAAAAAAAAACTTGAAAAATAATAATAAATCAGTTGATGGATAGATTAGTTACCTCTAGTAATAAATATAAAAATAAACAAATATATTTTGGGTCAGCAATATTATTATTATTTTTTGTCTAATTAAGGCTTTATACTTTATTGGTGAAAAGTGCTTTAACATTAATTTCGTTCGCCTCTGTCGTCTGCGCAGGTAAATCATATTGTCTGCTGTCAGAAACTGTTTAAAACTCGCTTTTTATATGGATGCGCATATGTATGTAATTATGAATTTTTATTTCATATTAATTGCATTGAAAGCCGCCTCGGCCACAGGCAGTTTATCAACGGCCAACTCATAAATATAAATGAGCACAATTTTATTATATATATATATACTTAATATATATATAGATACACTTTTTTGCAATTTGTCGCGCACAAAGCAAATTTCATTTTAATTGAAAATTATGCCATGGCATTAACATTAATCGCAAATTAATGGCTCGATCCTCGGCGCAAATTGTAAGGAAATGTCTGCAAGCAATTTGAAGGCGTTTTTCTTTGCAACTCTATTGCCAACAGTTGTTGGCCGTCAGATTCAGTTTTGTCTTTTTTTTTTTAGTTTTTCTCAATCAAATTGCACGTTGGCATTATAATTTTTATTTTTTTTTTCGGGGCTTATCGCCTTTTGTGCCATTTGCATATGTCAGCTGGGCGGTTATGTCTTTGTTGTTGTTGCCTGTATTGGGTTTTTGCTTGGCCAACAGCCGCGCATAAATTGTTTTCTCATGTGTGCCAAATGCTTGACTTACGCGCCCAAAAAGAATAATGAGAGCTTAAGTTGGTTAAACACAGCTGCGCGATGCTCTGTTTGTAGTTGAAAAATGTGGTCATATTAATATAAATTTGAGGATGTGGCTTTGTGTTTGTTAAAAAAAAAACTTGTTAATTTAAAAAAATTTTAACGTTACGAGATCAGAGATGCCCAATAGAAAATTTTTATATGCTCTCAGTAGTGACACGAGCTCCACACTACTTCATAGTCGCTAGTCTCTCTACATAGCTGATAAGAAAAGCTAATATACCATTTCTCCAAATACCACAACAGAGTATGTGTGCACAGGTAAATTCCATTGCACGTGTGCGTAGCCATACTATTTTTGTTGTTATCCGCCTATAAATCAATTAATTTTTGCGAACATGCAAATGCAATTGGAATTGCAATGCAGCGCCACCTGGCGATAGTGGGCAAAACTACACGCGCTACAGCGAACAAGTGACAACTGGAGGCAAAGTTTTATCAGCATGTCAAATGCAAAGACAAATAAACGAGCATCTAGCCTCAATTTATAGGCTCAACAATATTTGTATATATATGTATATGTATATATATGTATATATATGTATATATATATGTGTACATATATAGTATATGCAGCTATTATGGCTGTAGTCATATATCAGAGTCGAGAGCTTTATCGCACATTTTGTTTTCATAAAAGTTTCCGTTTCGCATTAACCAGATAGGCAAAATGCATATTGAAAGACTTTTGCCAGAGAGTCATAAATTGTGTTTTTCCTCCACAAACCAAGAGGCAAAGCATTTGCATAGTTATAAGTAGATGGCAAATGTTTTGACATCATGTTGCAATTTGTTGCTGTTGCTGTTGCTGTTGTCGGTCGAGTCTCTGTACTGTACTTGTTGGCGGATGTGCGCTCAAAGATCAAACAAAAGACGGTTAGTTACTGCCTAAGCTGGTGCATTAAGTATACGCGCCGTTGCGCGTCGCAATTTGCGAGCGAAGAATGTTATAGCTCTGCATGTTCAGCTGATGCAGAATTTGCCATTTGCCTTTTTCAAGATGAGACAACAACTTTATCAAGTCAATTGAGTGTCGTGACTGCTGGCATACATAATTAATTATAAGCAATTAATTATCTATAAATGGCGATTAAAACAAAAATAGATTGCCATTTTCCTCTGTGCACAAATCTGTTTAAATCTTGCAACCCACTTTCATTTGCAATTTGGCATGTTATGAAATGTATGAAATGATTAATGATATATATAGAATATCTTAAAAGTTAAGACTGAATTGCTAAGCTAAGTTTTCAGTTATGATGTATTTTTAATTTAATATCAAATATTTTTGAATAAGACTAAAAACTATATTTAACTATTTTCTTTAACATATAAAAACTTAACACTTTATGTTAACAACACACGTTAAATAGTTGCTCAACTAGCTTAACATTTTGTTACTTAACATTGCATAAATTTGTTTAACATCTTATTGTTTAAAGCTCAACAACTTTTTATTTATTTATTTTTTATTTTTTTGCAATTAGCATTAAATTTCATACTGCGATGTCACAAGAAATTTATGTCTAGACTTCATAATAAATAAGATTGTTGTTTGAGTCAGCCCTCGCAGCCTTAGCAAGCATTGAGCATGCAGTTGCCCCCACTTGAAAGTAACTGAAACCATCACAATTGTAATAGATATATATAGATCTGACTTGCAAATATAGAAAATAATATATAGATACACCTGTCTGAAATAGACTGCATGACTAGCAGTTATCACTTACTCGAGACTACTTCAATCATTTATCACAAAATGTGTTTAATAATTGAGTCTTAAGTTAAGTATTCATAAATAAAATACTTGAATTTATTTTTTATTTATCATCTATAATATTTAATATATAATATATATAATTAGTATTAAAATGAGCTTAAAACGTCTATTAACTGAGCAAGTTTTGTCAATAGCTTTTTGAAGAATATTTTCCTTGTCTTTCCTATCAAATAATAATATATATATAATTAATTATTTTAGTTCTATGTTTTATATATTATAGTTTGTATATTTAATTTTTGTATTATGTTAAGATTTTGTGTTTTTATGTTTAATATTTTACATTTTTTATTTAATGTTTTGTTATAAATATTACATTTTATATTTTATACTTTATTCTGTTCAATTTTATATTTAATATTTTAATTTTATATTTTTTACTTCATAATTTATATTTAATAGTTATTATTTTAATATTTTAAGATATTAATTTTTTATTTTTTTGGAGAAATTGTCGGTATAAAAACTATTTACGCAGTTAATTGCATTTTTCCTCTTATTCACATATTTTCTGCAAAGCTTAAGCTCTAGTTCTTTAAGCCGTATTTTGCATTGAATGTATTACGAAATTTAAAGTCAAGAGTAAAATACATTTTAGGGCACGAAATCACAGCTGATACAGTTACTTAACATATTTCGAGTATATCTTAAGGTCAAACCTCTCATTATCTAATTCTAAAATAAAAAGTTTAAAATCTTTTCTTTACTTCTGTTATTAAAATTTTCTTTGATCTGCTCATAGATATCGTTCTGCTAATAAAAGTCAAAAATATAATTTTACATATATTTCTGTCACATTTGAAACTTTTCAATCCAGGTGCAACTCTCCACTCTTAGCCGCACTTTTCTGCCAGGGTATGCGAAACAATTGTCAACTGTTTGACATTTTGCCTCTCATTAAGCTATTGTGGCAGTTGCATGTGGGCAATGAACTAAGCAATAATATAAAATGCAATAGCAATGCGATTGTTAATTAGACGCAAGAGCAAACTGCTCTCTCACACCTAATCGAAATGGCAAACGAATATTAATGCTTGCCCCGCCCCGCCCCGCCCCGCACTCGCTGCCAGCTGCTATCCCTGTGCTTGCCACATGGTATGTCGTGCAGTCGATTGTCGCTGGGTGCGAACGGCGCGAACAACCTTCAAATTTCGTGAAATGTCAAATGGCCAAAAAGAACTTTTCCTGACAAATTATGAATGGGAATTCAGATTTAGATTAAGATTTGGATTTGGATTTAGATTGCGTAAGTCTTGTATTAGTTGCGCATCTGCTAATCGGTTGCATAATAGAAAACAGGCAAAGATTTGCGTGGCAGTCGTAAAAGGCAGTTCGCTGATGTTGCAAGTCTCGTCTTGCAGATAAATCGCAGCAAGCCAACAAGATGACGACGCGTTGACTACTTGGCCATAAATGTCAAATACGCGCGTTTCGCACGCGGCTTTTGGGTTTTCGCCTTACAGTCTATACTCTAGGAGCGGGTCGATTCGTTTTGAGTGCATATTGACGGCAGGCCAATCTACGCGAACTCGAAACATTCTTTGATATATGTGAATCATTCTTTAATAAATATAAGAACCATTCTTTGATAAGCTAAAGATATCTTTTCAATTTATGATATGAAAGTGTTTTCAGAGCAGCTTTAAGGAAGATCGTTTCACAGCTAAAATTTGAAGTTTTTTCAGCAGTTTTGATTGTAAGAATAATAAAATGTTTCTGAATACAGAAATAAATGAGATAATAAACTATTAATTTCCATATTTCAATTTAGCTAAAAAATTTACCAAAAAAGTATTTTTAGCTAGGCTGAAGTACGTCTTTTACAACTGTCAACTGTCTTTAAGAGTATTTCATCGTCGTCTATGCTAATCTATAGAGTTTCACTAGTATGTTTCTGTTTTTTTTTCTTTTTTGTTAACGCCTGACACATCAAGGCGTTTGTAATCGCCCGCGCACGCCCTCTCTCAGCAGCTGCGTGTGTCATGTAATCTGCTTGGATTTATTGCGTTTAGCTTGCGTTTTGCTGTAATTCGATTTGGCTGCAGCAGCAACAACAACAACAGTAAGAGCTAAAAAAGCCGCAGGCTATAATTTATGTTCTGGTTGCAAGTGTTGTTGTTGTTGTTGCACATACATTTATGATTTACGGCCTTAGTTATGCGACTTACCCGTAAACAGTAAATATCCACAAAAGACGATGAGCACAGCGAATGTGAGCCTTGGCAACATGTTGCTAACGCTAGCTAAATATGTTGCCAGTAAAAAATAATGTTGCTAAGCAACCGCCTGTTGCTTGCTGTTGCCTATGTTTGCTGTTGCTGTTGTTTGCTGTTGTATTGCTTATGACCTTTTGACAAAGCGTAAACAAAAGCGACTTTCCAATCAATACGGCAAGGCAACAATAAAGAAACCGCTAAAAAAACGCGGGCGCGACAGTAAACGCGCGCAGTGCTCGTTAAAAAACTTAAAAAGCGTTTAAATTGTTTTTAATAAATAAATTTTGTGCCACACCACGAAAAGAAAGGAAAACGTTTCGTGTCAGTTTTGCCTGGCTTGGCCCAACAACGGGGACTTGTTGACTGCAGTTGCAGTTGCAGTTGCAGTTGCCCAATATGTGGCACCAAAGTAGCGGGCGGGCGATGCTTGTTTACAGTTGCAATTGCCGCAACAGTAGCTGCAAACAATAGCACTCGAGTATTGCACTATATACACACACACAGGCACACACGCACACACACACAGTTAGACACACATCACAAATTTGATATTTGTTGTTATTGTTATTAGCTTTTGTCTCCAGCTAGCTGCTGGTTGCAAGCAGCACAGCCTGCCTCAAATTTGGGTAGCAAATGCGATTGTTTTTAGCAGTTTAGCCAAGTTGCAGTTCAAGTCGCGCGTTAACGTCTGTTCGCTTGGCGTTTTCAGCTTCAACTGATTTTCTGTTTTCAATTGTCTTGTTGGATTTTTCGCAACGCGAACATCCAGTGCTGCGCTCAGAGCTTGAGTCAAAAGTTGAGTCGCTTTTTAGCTGTGAGCCTGGCCAACAACTCGTTTGTCGTGCCTCCAAAATATAATAAAAGCAACAACAACAAATCTTGTCTCAGCGCGCTCAGCTGTGCTCACTTTTAATTGTGCTAACTAGATTTGGCCTTACGCAATTGCAAATCAAATCAAATTAAATCAAAGCCTGATGAGTCACACACAGCCGATCAGAGAGACCCTAGGCTCAACCTTCGCCTAGACTAACGATAACAAAAACTTTATTTGAAAATAAATACATAATGCCAATTTCGGCATCATGTAATTAAGAAGTTTTTCATTTTGGCTCTGGGCCAGAACTGAGTTAGGCAAAGGAAAAACAAAACGACACTTCATTGCCTAGAAGGTCTCCTTTCATTTTTACTTCTATATATATACAAACTGTATTTATATATATATTTATTTATCTTATTTTGTTTTTGGCTGCTGCATCTTGTTTGCCGCCTGACCTTGTAGCCAAGTTTGATATTATAGTTGTTGTTGCTGCCGCCACAGAACCTGGCCAGAATGTCTTTGCCCTGCAGAAGAACCAAAAGAATAGTGAAACTAAAATGTAAGAGCGAAGTGGTCGGGAGTGCGCGACTAGCAGATACTTTCTATAAAACCTAAACTAACTTTTTGGGCGACAGCAATCAATGCTGCACTCAGATGAGTGAGCCACAACCATCTATGCTTCGAAGAGCGGCGTCTTGTATCTTAAATTCCTATTTAACAAAACAATAAACATATGCCATCGTTTCCCACGGCGTGAAATTTGAGCATGGGGCACAACTGTTGTTTCGACTTGATCGTGTTGCCGTTGCCACTTGCCACTTGACAGCGTCAGGAGGCAGCCGTGATTACCATGTTCATGCTTGCAGATATTCAAAAGAAAAAGGAAAATCTATATTGTCTTATATATTCATAACTCTAACCTCCAACACGAACTATCAGAAGATCAATGCGAACAGATTGGCTGGTGTCTTGCTCGTGTTTACTTATTCTTCAGCTTTAGGCATTTAGCCATACCTTTCGTTGACTCCTACATACATTCTCTTAGCTGTAGATAGGGTATAATACGTCGTTGCCATTTTTTTTATAGAAGTAGCGTCGCAGTATATATTAAGTTTCTGAGTAAATGTTTAATGCCTTCTGTCTTCTGATTATTTTATAAGGCTATAGTAAGAGCTAAGCTAAGTTTATAGATGTGACTTTTGCAGATTTTATATTTGTTTTCAAATCAAATTACTATATTTAACTGTAATATAATATTTTTAATTAAGATTATTGTATTCTAGAAAAAATTTACTTGAAATATACTTTGAAATCATTGTAGATTTTCTAAAAACAATTTCCTTGCTTGAAACAAATGGAGCGAAGTCAGTTTTATTATGATTTATATATTATAATACAATTATATAATATAAATAATTCAACAACTTTAGGAACAGTAAAACATATAACAAAATTTACTAAAATATGATTCAAAAGTTATATACATCTTTCACAGCCAGTTAAACCTGCTAGCGTATCCAAACTGCAGATATTTCCAGACCTGTTCAGTCTCAGATCTCTTCTTTTTTTGTGTACTTTCAGTCGGAACCGCATTCATTATTTGTCTTAGCCTGATTTATTTTAGCCACTTGGCCGCGCTGACCAGCATGCCAAATTAGCCAGGTTTATTTATATTTACTACTATTTATTTTTCTCTTTTTGTGGGACAGACACAGCGCCGCTTTCAAGGCCGCTCACAATACGCATAATTCATAATCACATTAGGCAGGGGCTGGGCCTGGGGCATAGGGTTGAGCAGTGCATTAAACACAAATTTTGCTTTAGCGAGTCGCCCACACGAAAGGCATTAAATATCAAAAGCACTAAAGAAACACGAATTAACTATTATATAAACAAATAAAAGTTGCAAATGGCAAAAGTTGATTTCTCATTACAACTCTCGGGCACGCACCACAAGAAAAAAGTTGCCATAATAGAACTATTCATATGTGGCATGTGGAATATTAAATACTCTAGGAAAATACTTCAACTAGGGGAGATAAATAATGTGGTAATGGAACTATAGTAGATGCTAGATTGATGATTGAACATTGAAGATTGAAGATAGAAGATAGAAGATAGAAGATAGAAGATAGAAGATAGAAGATAGAAGATAGAAGATAGAAGATAGAAGATAGAAGATAGAAGATAGAAGATAGAAGATAGAAGATAGAAGATAGAAGATAGAAGATAGAAGATAGAAGATAGAAGATAGAAGATAGAAGATAGAAGATAGAAGATAGAAGATAGAAGATAGAAGATAGAAGATAGAAGATAGAAGATAGAAGATAGAAGATAGAAGATAGAAGATAGAAGATAGAAGATTGAAGATTGATGTTTGGTGTTTGATGTTTCATGATTGATGATTGATGATTGATGATGATTGATGATTGATGATTGATGATTGATGATTGATGATTGATGATTGATGATGATTGATGATGATTGATGATGATTGATGATTGATGATTGATGATTGATGATTGATTGATGATTGATGATTGATAATTGAAGATTGAAGATTGAGGATTGATGATTGATAATGATGATGATTGATGATTGATGATTGATGATTGATGATTGATGATTGAAGATGGAAGATACAAGAGAAAAATGAGAGAAGGACAGAAGAATAAAAAGATAGACGGATAGAATGATTGAATGATTGAATGATAGAATGATGGAATGATAGAAAGTTGGAATTATAATATGACAGAATGGTGCAAAAATTGAATGATGTAGTGATTGAATAATTGAATGGTTGAATGAATGAGTTGTATAGTAGTATAAAAAGATAGTAGGATAGTCAAAAAGCAGCATTATATGATAAAAAATTGGGATTTTAGCCTTAAGGCTGTAGGCCTTACAGCTTTCATAGCTTACGCATTAATTTGGCCTACGCCTTAAGTAATGGGAATTTCAAGTCAACCAATATACTTTTTGTCACTCCATCAACGAGTAAAGCTAACTAACTGGACAGCAATTTTTATTGAATAAAAATATTATTTAAGATGCTGTAAAAGATTTTCATATAATGTTACATATTGCGTGACAAAGTTAGCTAACCCTTTCACAGGGTATTATTAATGCAATGCGGCGGTTAACGAGGCGGCTCAAAGCGCCAGTAAATTGTCCGTCCGTAATTGATAAACTGGCCAAATGAAGTGGCTTACTGCGGCTGACTGAGTTACTGAGTTACTAAGTTACTCATTCAACCACACACACACATTACACACATACATACACACACACTCGCTGAAATTACGCGCAATCATCTTTTTTTGTTGCTTTTATTTTTGGTTTATTTTTTACAACTACTTCAATTGCTCACTAATTGTTTTAATGTGCGCTAAATGCTGCTGCTTCAAATTATGACCAAATTATTGCCAACTAAAGACTATTAAAGCCACCAAAACTCTTCCTAACTTAGTTAATAATTATTATTTGCCAGCAAGGTTAAAGATGCTTAGAGGAAGCGCTGTCGACTGGTGTGTTGTCTATGAAGTCTTAAAGAGTATAATAAAACATTGCTTTATGGTTAAGGTAGAGCATTTAAAAATCGTATATCGTAGTTAGTTTTTATGCCAATTATTGTTTTGGCCATAATTAAGAATTTTTGCTGCGTGCTCGTTGATCGACCAAAAGCCTAAAAGCTTAAACCCAACTCTTTGGGATTTTACTGCTCAGTTATTATTATTGTTCGTTCTGAAAAGCCTGATTGACGCATTGACTGACCGATTGACTGACTGACAGTTTGTCGTAGGAAGTGTGTGCGTTGCGTTTTGTGTTCGAAATGCCCACGAAAATTGCAGATTATTGAAAACTATTTTCTATGTTGGCCATTAAAACTAATTGGCAGCATACACTGCTGGACACGCATGTAGAGCCATTTGGCTGGGTCCATTAAATCGCATGAAGCGTAAAACAATAGAGCATATCAATGCGATTGGCTCTCCCCCCGCCTCTGGCCACATAGCCAGGGCAAGGTCAAGAGTAAATTGATTTGATCTCGACTCGTATCGAGTCGTGTCGTATCGAGCACTTCGATTGCATGTAAAACAATGCCCAACCCCGAAATAAATATGGTTTCGTTTTAATGATGTGCGAACGCTAGCTTCAATATGGATTTCATTTACACTCGCCTCTCGATCAACGCTCTCCTCGACACTCAATCTATTCGATCTACGATCTATGATCTGCGATCTGAGCTGCCTTTTATGGTAGAACCGAGCGATTGGTGCGAACTTGCCTGTCATCTGCTACAAATCAGCTGTCATAAGCCAGCCCAAAGCAGCATTTTTGTATTATTTTTGGTGGTTTTTACAATCACTTTCAAAAGCTGCACAACAACAATTATTACAGCAACAGCGTCAGCGAATGCTGCAGCGGAAGATACCCTATAATTAGTTTGTATATGAAAAGCTCTTTTTATGTAATTTTGAAAGCTGAACGAAAGGAGTCTTAAATGAATTTAAAACAACTTTATGAAGATTGTATTTAGTTTCATGTGTTAGAAATCCCTAATTTTAATTTTAAATTTAAAATTCTACAATAAATATTGTATAGTGAGAAAAATGCTTACAGGAAAAGTTTTGAAACTTCTGTATTAGCAGAAATTTTATGAATATTGCTTAGTAAGGTACCTAAAAGATTTTAATTATTTTAAATTATATATGTGCGCACTTAATTTGTCTTAGCTTTATATTAATACTGAAAGTATCCAAAAAAAAAATATAATTTGAAATTTTTAACCTTAGATTTGGTTGTAATGAAAGAAACTTTGAAAAATAAAATATAGAAATATTAATATTAATATATTAATAATATTAATAATATATATTAATAATTTTAATAAAATAAAGAAAACACTTGAGCTTCAAACTCTGTAAGATAGATACTTCTAACCCACATTATATAGTAATTACTAATTTTTTATATTTATATTATATATCTGATATATATCTAATATAAATATATATATGTATTATCTTTATATGTCGTTATAGTCTATGATAATCTGTGTATATGAGTCGATAGTCTATGCTATCTATGAATCTCGTATGTTTCATACATCTCATAGATACTCTTATAAACTCACGTATTCAACTCAAGTTTATCACATATATCGCCCATATATATATCATACATCTCATCAATTACTCATCTACCTCATCAATCTCCATATAAATCGAATCATTGACAGAACTCAAAGATCTCTAACTGCCCCTGTTACAAACCATGTGCCTTATCTTAATATACCTTGTCCCATAATGTTTAATAGTCAAAGCTATATACAAGGCGACATAGAGTTTCTGAGCAGACAAATGCCGCGTCGCTGATAATGATCATTCGCCGAAGAAGCATTTTTTCAATGCACAATTAAAAGTGGCAGCACTCGAGTGCCGCTCTCCATTCACCTGCAGCGCAGGCGGCTTTTGTAGAATGTAGACTCGCATCATTAGAATGGCTTTTAATGGTAATAGTCTCACTCTCCCCCTCTCTCTCTCTCACTCGTACAGGTGGTGCAGAATACAAAGAAGAAACTTGGCGATTTTGCCACCGAAACGCTGACCAACATCTCGCAGCGTTTCCGCTTGCTGCATGGTCAGCTGCAGAGTGCCGAACAGAAGACGATTGAGATGCTGCGCGAGGCTAGCCTGCCGCCGCAGTTGCAGCTAAATCAGGCAATTAGCCAGCTGAATGATTATGAGACAGTACTGAAGGTGAGCGTCCAAATACTATCCGAGCTGTCAGCAATATCTGATTGACTCTGTCTTTGTCTAGAACCTACGCCAGCTGCTGAATTGCGGCACCGATGGTCGTTACGAGGTGCCGCAGAATATTTGGTTAAAGGATATCATTATGATCATCAGTGAACACCTGGAGAACATACCCAGCTATGTGCAAGTTACCAATCTCGATCGTAATCCCTATCAGTGAGTCACATATGGCTTTGATTATTATTTCTTCATTCTCTCTGTTAACAACTCTCATCACCCAACAGCTTACAGACTACGAATAATCTATCCGAAATGATAGGACGTCATCTGAATTGCCAATTTCGGAATCCCAAGATTGAGGTGCGCTTTAACAATGAGTACGATCAGCTGAGCCGTATCTCGATCCGTAGCCAGCCGAAGGAGTCGAAGAGCATTGGCTCATTGGCTCATGGCAGACTCGGCAAGAAGCTAAAGCGTCGTCCCAAAAAGTCTAAAAGCAGCTCCAGCTCGATGAAGGACAGCGCTAGTGAGCGCAATGTGCAGCAGATGAATTTCCTGCGCACATTCTCGGCCATGGACATCAGCAAGTCGAATTCGGCCCGCTCTATGTCTAATAAGCTGTCAAGTCACCTGGGCGACAGGTTTCGCACAGATGCGATTGTGCGTGTTCGCTCCATTCAATCCCCGGAGGATTTCTATGTACAGTGTATTCATGCAGCGCAACGCATGCGTGATAGTCTGGAGGCATTCGCTGAAACGCCAGCCTGCCTGCCACCGAACCTCATTGTGGTGGGGCAGCAATACATCACGTTCAACAATCAAAACGAGACAGATCGCTGGCATCGCGCCTTGGTCATTCGAAAGGCCGACTCACGTGAAATTTATGACGTCTTCTTGCCGGACGTAGGCCTTACCCGTAAGGTGCACAGCAGCAAGTAAGCGCGTGGCTAATCTTCAATTTTATGGTATATAGACTATATGTTTGTAAAATCGCTTGCAGCTTCCGTCAGATGCCGGAACATCTGGCCACACTGCCCTACACAGCCGTCCACTGCAGCCTGAAGCAGCTGATGCCCAGCAACGGAGGTACCGAGTGGGAACCACAGGCCATCGACTTTCTCAAGCAAGTGGTGCAAAAGTATGCGTTGATTGATGAACAGACTGACTGATTGATTGATTAATAAAGCCACTATTTCTCTCCTCTTTTACCCCAAGCAATCCTGTGTATATCACCATTCTACGAGCCTTGGGCGCCCAGTTGTACGAGGTGGATCTAAGCATTAATAACTATGATTCGACCATTTCGGTGCGCGAAGCCTTTCTATACACTGGATTAGCCCTCGAGCGAAATGTCTTTGCTACCCCGTTGACATCGAAGTCGCAGCAGTTGATGGCAGAGGAATCGCAGAGATTACCGAAATACGTGCCACGTGTGGGAGATGTGCTTATCATACAGATGCTGCATGTGGAGCAGCCCCTGGAGTTCTATGTGATGCCACACGAACTGGAGCACAATCGCAGTTCGCTGCAGCGCTCGCTGCAAAGCTTCATGGATCACTTGAGTCTCAGCCAACTGGAGCCCATCTTTTTGGGTCGCCTGGAGCTGGGTTGTGCGGTCCAATCGGAGGGTCAGTGGCATCGCGCCTGCATTGAGATCATTTTGCCCAAAGGTGATTGGCTTAGCCACCAATTGATGAGTTAATACATTTATATATTTCCACAATGCTAATGCAGGTTACGTGCTGGTGCGTCTGGTGGACACAGGGATCACACAGAAAGTCTATTGGGATCAGCTTTTCATGTTGCCGCGCATATTCTGGACTCAGGAGATAGCCATCAAGTGCTGCCTGGCCGATGTGGAGACACTGCAAGTGAATAACTATACTTGGACACCGGCTGCCATCGATGCCTTCAAGCAGTTAACCTCAAATCCGAAGCTACAAATGGAGGTGGTTTCCGTGCGAAATAACGTGGCCTATGTTGTGCTGCATTTTGGGAACAGCAACGTGGCTGCCGCAATGGTGTCTCAGGGCCATTGCGAGTCCAGTGGTGCGAGCAGTAAAGTTGTTAAGCCTCAGCCGGCACGACTATCGCAGCTGGACGCAGATGCGCGTAGACTGATAAACGAGGCAAAGGAGGAGGAGCATTTGGATGCTCACCCGCCATCTGGTCAAACTGACACCATGAATCGCTCACCCATCGAAGTGCTGCATGTACAGCATCCAGGCGAATTCTACGTAACACTCGCGCACTTTGTCTCGGCCATTGCGGAACTGAGGAAAACAGTGCAAGCAACAGCAGCTGAGATGTACCAGAGTTGTTCGCCTACTACCAGTTGGCAGCCGGGCGACATGTGCTACGTGCGTGTGAAGGCCAAGGGGGATCAGGACATGCTTTGGCATCGCGGCCAGATTGTTGCCTGCGCCGATTTTAATACAGCCAGCAAATACGATGTGCGTCTGCGTGACATCGGCGAACTAGTGCCGGGTGTACCCAATAACTGTCTGACCGCAATGGATGAGGCTCTCGTGCGCATCAGCAATAGTGCCATGTGCTGCCGCCTATTTGACATTGTTCCCAATGGCATCGAGTGGTCAGCTGAGGCTGTAGGGTTCTTTAAATCGCAACTGACGGCCTACAGCTCGCTGCATGTGACAGGTTATGGACGCAGCGGAGACTGCCTGAACGTCATCCTATGGGGAGCAAACACTGAAATCAGTGGACCATTCTCGCCAGCACGCATCAAGTATACGAACATCAATGAGGTGCTTTTGCGGGCAGGACATGCCATAAGAGATCCGCTTAAGTTGCTGAAACAGGAAAATGAATCGACAACAAGCAGCGACAGCAGCAGCAGCAGCTTGTGCTCACAGCAGTCAGGTGATATGGACTTGTTTGCAGGCATTGATATGGTGGCAAGAATTGAAAGTAAGCATTGATTAGAATTCATTCTTGTAGATCTCATTCAATTATTGCCTTATCTTAGGATCCCAGGAAGCGCCAAAGTTGAATTTCCAGCACACCTACGAGATGCCGCCACTGGAGCTGCTCAACGATTTGAATACAAAGGAAACCACCTTCGGTTGCAATGAGCCGCCAGTGGCCTGGCTGCAGCCGCGTACATGCAAGAAAAGTGTTTTTACTGCACTGCCCACCTATGTGAATAATCAGTGTGAGATTTACCTAAGCCTGGCCACCGATGAGCCGTTCATTCATCACATGCGCAATTTGCTGGTCAATCACTTCAAGCCCCTGCTGGAGCAACAGCGACAGTCAAGCAGCTATGTGGTTGGTCAACCGGTGGTGGTCACCTATCACTTGGATAATCTCATTTATCGCGGCATTGTCAAGAGCAAGTTGAGTGCTCAGGGTAAGCACAATGTATACTACGTGGACTACGGAAACGAGGAGAAAGTATCGCCCGTTGAGATGCTGCCGTATGCACCATTTCCACAGTTAAATTCGCTGTGCTGGCGCATAGCCATCCACGGTATCCAGCCCAAGCAAAAGAACTACAGCGTCAAGACCGTGGACGCTGTTCACCAAACTGTGGTCATGAAGCTCAGCAGCGTACGTGTTATGGAAGCCAAAGGAGTTGACGGTATATCGCAATGTCAAATAAAGGTGGGCGACATGGACATAGGAACAATGATGTTAAACAACGAAATGGCGATACGCGCCGCAACCCAGGGAGATGAAGAATTGAAACAGCAACGTGCTAAGACACTGAAGAGCTTCAAAGTGTTCGAAGAGCTGCTCCAGTTAGGCGACACCCAGCCTCCATTGGTACTTGAACAGGTGAATACAACAGCTCAGCCGCCACCCGCTAAGAAAAAGTACATGTTAGACAGCAAAGAGCTACTTCATACTGAGTGCGAAAAGGATTTCGATTGCAAGGAGCCAGTCAAGCAGGAGCAGCTACAAACGAGCATCAAACTTGAAAAAGACAGCGATGAGGATCACTCGGAAGAAAATAATTCAGCTGAGGGCTTCTCGGATGGCTACGTCATCGAGGAGATAGTCGAAAGCAATGTCAATAAGGAAGATGAGAAAACATCCAGTGCCGGACCAGAACAGGCCAGCTTTATGCCACCGCAGAACATATCCGCCGTGGAACAACTACGTCGACGCATTCAGCTGAGACATAAGGTGTGTTTGATTGCAGTACATGGTTGTTCGTTTAACCACGATTTGTTTATTTAGCAGGAAAGGTTGGACAGCGCACATTTCTCACCAATGGATACGTCCACGGAGCGTTCCTATCAGCGTTGTTTCAAGGCACAATGCCTGCCCACTGGCGTCAAACATTTTTCGTGCAGCATCGACAAAGTGGTATCCGCCACCGAGTTGCAGATATCTCCGCAACTAACTGAATTTACCAAGCAGGAAATTGTACTGGCTCAGGAGACTAGCGCCTTAATCCTGGACGCTGCACAGTTGAATCCTGTGGAGATGGAATCTTTGTGTCTGGCCCGCTATAGTCTGGATAATCAATGGTATCGCGCTGTTATTAAGGAGGTGTTTCATGCCTCTAATCAGGCAACTGTCTACTATATGGATTTCCATGACACTGAAGTGGTGCCCTTTATCGATCTGAAAGTAATGCCCAAACAGCTTTTTATGTTTCCTCAGCGTTCGTTCCGAGTCAATCTCTACGGCATCAAGATAAACAGAAACTTTGCGGACACATCTGTGCGCCAAGCACTTCAAGCATGTCTATGCAAATATCCTTTAGTGTACGCACGCGTTCACTATCCTCACGACTATCACGACAATAGCGAGGACTACGGCGAATCGGAGCCGTGCTCATCCAGCGATTCTATTAGGCAAAGCTTTAAACTACTCGAGGTCGATATATATGAGAATAAATTCAAAACCGAGCTGCTCTACAAACCCCTAATTGACAGTCGGATGTTCCTATTGAAATAGTTTACAAACATTACAAGAATAATTGAACTATCTTAAATTGAAGTAACCAAAGAGGAAAATTCCATTATATTCTTTTTAAGATTTCCTGTTGTAAGAAGGTATTGATGATTGAATATGTGCTAGACTTTTATGTTTTATGCATATTACTTGTATTACATATTACAATATATATATACATATAATATATTATGTATACATATAATATATTATTGATTTAATGTAATATTTTTCGCTTTTCAATAAACTTGATCAATATCAAACCCAAGTGAAAATTTATATTTGAATCTATTCCTTAAAAAATAAGTTCCAAGATGAAACCCAACGAAAATGTATACCATGTTCATAATTATCCATAAATTGCATTTATTTCTTCCACAAAATGGTTTAAATTTTGTTTTTGTTTGTTTTCATTGATTCTCGTTGAAATTTGTATGTAAGTTGTAAATATTTGAAAGTGGTTTTGTTGTTGGTTGTTTTCCATATTATAAGGTAATGTATTATTTAATTAATTCTCATAATGCTTATGTTGTGTGTGTTGGCTTATAACTAGAAATTTTAACTAATCGCTCCATAATCGAAACCATCGCAAACAATTATTAAAAATAAGCCTAGAGAAGTTGCAACTACTACAAATTAAATATATATATATATATATATATGTTTATGTATATATAAATATATATTCTACAAACATCGAGATGGTTTTTACTTTTAGATTTATTCTTTCAATATGACAGTTGTGTTCGTTTACTTTCGATCGCTGGTAGACAGTTTGTCTCTTCAGTTTAAAAAAATCCGTAAATTATATAACAATTTCTAAACCGGTCGCTTGCAATTTTCTGTAATGTTTTATATTATATGTATGTAAGTGTTGGTGTTGGTGAGCTGTGTGTGTGTGTTTGTGTGCATGTGTATTTGTGTGGCTTAGAATGTGCTCAAGTTTGGAAAACTCAAAAATATAACGGTACATATATAAATGTATGCATATAATTAAACCAATTGCAACTAACTTAAATTAACTAGATTTGTGTTGCCATTTACAAACGCATTAGACATAAAATATATGTTTATCTATATAGAGATAAGTAAATACAAATGATTAAAATTAAATGTTATCAAACTAAAGTTGAGATGTTTTAAGTCTACGCTGTAAAATTAAATGATAATAATAATGAATATTGCACTGAACTAGGCATGTCATTTCACTAATTGTAAATATGTTTACAATTGAACAAAAATTAAAGCGATTTCTTTTTGAAGTAATTGTGTTTATAACAACTTTTGTTTTTAAATGTGGATGAGTGTCTGTGTGTGTGAGTGTGTGGGTGGGTGGGCGATTGGTGTTGTCTAGAGGAAAACGGAGAACGCTGAAGGTGGGGCGAAAGGAGCTATAACACATTCACATTTAGCTAAGTTTCTTAAACCACATTCAAATGTACGAGTAGTAAAATGTTATATTATGATAAATTGATTTCATGTTTTTTGTTGTTTATCAAGAATTGGCATTCGCATACGTAAACTATACGTACATATATATAGATATAGATGGATTTATGTGTATGTTTATATATGTTTATAGTTCAATAGGTAATACTAGTTTGTTTTTGTTGTTTGTAATTAACCACAGATACAGATAGAGACACAGACACACACACACAACACACCCACGCACACTCACACATGTACACATACACACAGAGAAGAGCCACGAACAGCTATCTAATTAATGAATTAAACTTTAGTTTAGAGTAGTCAATTAGTTGGTTAGTATATTCCATTTAAACCTCCACGGTGAATGGATCCCGTGAATGATGTATCTTCAGATGCTTATTATGATTGGTCTTTGTCGTCGAACTCTTGCCACAGATGGTACAATGGAACGGACGCTCGCCCGTATGGATGCGCCGATGCTCAATTAGATAATAATGCCGATGGAAAGACTTGTCACACTGGTCGCAGGTGAACTTCTTGTTGCCATGATGCTCCCGCCGATGCCGCATATAATTGTATTTGCGTATGAACTTGCAGCCACAGTATTCGCAAGTGTATGGCTTGATCTGCTTGTGTGCGTTCATGTGGTTCTTGAAGTCCAGCTCGCGCACAAAAGCCTTTGGGCAGTATTCGCATTTGAACGGTTTGGCTGTGCGATTTGCATGTACCCACGAATGGATCTTGAGGTTCCATTTTGTGGAGAAGCTCTTGTTGCATATGGCGCAATCGTATTGCGGATCTGTCGAATGCGTTGCCATGTGCGCCTTAATTGAGGTTTTGGCAAAGATCTGCTTGCACATGGGACACTCCATGGGCTCAGCATAATCAAACTTATCCGAGTGTGCCAGTCGAATGTGCCTTCGCAGCGAATTGGCATGCACAAAACGATCGCAACAATAGGGACAGCATTTGGGCTTCAAGTCGTGGGTTTCCTTATGCCACAAGAAGCGTGCCTTAGACGGCAACACCTCGCCACAATGACACACATACTCCTTCTTTCGCACCAAAATCTTAGTGTGACGCTTTCGATGCTGTGTTAAGTTCGAATATCGCTTGAACTTTTTGCCTATTAATACGAAAAGAATTGGTTATGCATGTGTCTGTGGTTGCTATTCAGTATTTTCCATGTACTTACCGCATATCTTACACTTGAGCGGTGTCTGGCCCGTGTGCATGCGCATGTGCTCCACAAGAGCACTGCGCACCACGAATTTCTTGTCGCAGATATAACAGCCGAACTCCTTCCAGCCCAAATGACGTTTCAGATGCAGCGAAAAGTTCTTCCAGCGATAGAATTTTTTGCCACAGGTGAAACACTCTGCGGGATGCTCAGTCAAATGAGCATCGTACAGCTTCACAGAGGGGAAATCAGTGCGGCATACATAGCATAAAAATATGGATTTTTCCATGGCCTTTTGCTCAAGTTCGCTGAGATTGTTTCGCTCCTGGCCCAGCTTGGACTCATTGTATGCAATCAGCATGCGATATAGAGCAGCAAGCTTGGCAGCTGGTGTTGTCATAGCCAACGGCGGTATGGCTGGCTTCTCGTCCAAGTCTGTGACGCCGGCTGGGGGCTTCATGTCTGCATCGCGACCGTTCTCATCGCTACCATTGAGTAGCCCGGAATCCTTCACATCAGGCAGCTCTGAATGGGCAAGTAGTTGCTCAGAAGCATCCTGTTTATCGTGGCAGTGTTCCTGCTTGATCTTTATAATGCCATCCTTGGAATCCTCATGCACAATGTCTCCATTGCTGTGCCCCGCTGCCTGCAGCAATTGACGCTGCTGCTGTTGTCCCTGTGACTCCTGCTCCTGTGGGTCGACCAATGTGGTATTGACCAAGGCCTGTGTGCAGATGAGACGTCGATTCTGGCGCACATAGTTGTGCTCGCCAATCATGTGCGCGTTACGCTCCTTTAACTTCTCAAAGATGGCCACACAGTGCGGACACTTGTAGATCTTGCGACGCGGTGGCTTCCGTTGCGCCAGCGCTGCAGCCACGGCCTCCGCTTCGGCAGCAGCACGCGATGTCGAAGCTATTGGTGGACCAGCCAGCAAAGCTGACGACGACGAGGAGGTGGTGGGCTGTGCATCCAACAAATGATTGTTTCTAGTTGAGCCTGGGGATGTATCCAACTGACCCGGATTCGTGTACTCCGAAGCGACCGCGTTAAAATCGAAGCTAGAAAGCCGATATTAACGATATTTAAAACGCATAAGCATAAGTTCTGGAATAGCCAAATACTAACCGCTTTTGCTCACGCTCTGGCTGCTGCTGGCCACTGAGATCCTGCGCCGGATAGTAATCGTGACGCCAATCGGCCAGCTGCTGATTATAACCATCCGTGAACTGGTTTCTAAAGTAACGCTGTGATAAGTCGCCGTACATCTAAAATGAGTGAATTAATTAGGTCAGTTGATCAACTTACATAATTGCTTCTGCTTACCGATTGACTCCAGGAGTTTTCAATGTCACAATTGCTTTCCTGCTCGGAAATTTCACCCTTGGCGGGCATTTTCTCATCAGTGCGTATGTTCAAGCCCAAGCCACCAACCAAACTGCTCTCCGTGGCGGCGGCTGCAAATGACGAGGATGTGGTGGACGCAGAGGCCGAAGGCAAATGGCTGCTGCTATTGCTCAATTGTTCCCGCTTACAGGTATCCAGGTCCAAATACTTGGCTTCGCTCACGTCGCTATCCACGGCCGCAACGCTGCAGCACTCAACAGCTGCAAGTGCAGCAATAAAATTGCTTGACTGCTCCACACTGGAACCGTGTGACGTGCTCGCCTGTGGCTGTTGCTGCGGCTGTGGCTGATACCAGGGACCCATTGTGGACTGTTGTTTGCTAACTCGAAACGTTGCATTCATGGAGCAATCCTGATCTAAAGCTGATGAGTTACTAGAGGAGGAGGCCAGCGTGGCAGCATTGGTTGCTTCGCTCGAGCCATGCTGTGGATGTTGCAGCACCTGCTGCTGTTGCTGCATACCAAATGGAGCAAAGGTTGTGGCAGTTGATGTTGCTGCTGCCGTCGATGTTGCCGCTGCAGTTGTTGTGCCATGTTGATGGTACAGAAAATTGAAATCTGTAAAGGAGGACGGCTGCTGCGACTGCTGCAAGGCTTGCTGCGCTGGCGGCTGCTGTTGCTGCTGCTGCGATTGCTGTGACTGCTGCTGCTGCTGCAATTGTTCGTGCTGCGAATCGGAGGCATAGGAAGACGAGGAGGATATCACAATTTCATCCACCTCTAGATTATTATCTGGCAGAATGTATTCATCGCCCGGCTTAGTTGACTTCTGAACGTTGCTACTACCACTCGCAAATACAGAGCCAGCCGAAGCAAAACTGGCCGCATTTACCACGAATGTAGTCTGATTGCTATTGCCCGGCGGAAGCTGCTGCTTTGAGTTGGCAAACTCAAGCAGCACGCGTGCATCGTCGTCGTTGACCGCAGAGTGTTTGCGTGCCTGTTGTGCGGCGAAGCTATTGGTTAGATGTTTCTCCAAAATGCTGCCACTTGTGGGAGCATGCTCAACATTCTCGCTTTTGATCTGCAACGGCTCTGGGGATGCTTTTGATGATATGCTGAGTGTTTCGGCGCAGTTGCTGCTGCTGGCAGCGTTGTTATCAGTCTTTTTAGTCGTTGCCGTCGATGCTGCTGCCGCCGTCACTGTAGCCTTTGGTTTGATGACTAACTTCTTAGGCCCACGATGCTGCGCTGGCGCTGAGAAACGTTGCGGTAGTAGCACCGTTGGCTCCACCTCCACTTTCATTGGCGGCGGCTGTGTGAGATCGTCGTTGGCAACATTTGTGGTGGTGGTGGTGCTGCTGGTGCTGGCCATTCGTATGACGCTGGTGGTGCCATGACCACTGTTGCTGCTGTTACTGCTGCCACTAGCATTCTCCATGTTGTGCTTTTGCTCCATAGCTTGCATCTCGTCTCTTACGGTATCGTAATCATCCATTGGCTCCTCCTTCTCTACCTTGACCAATGGTATGGGCGCCACAGCAGCAAAAGGACGAGTAGCGCCAATGCGACTAGAGGCTACAATGTTGCCCACTAGATCCAAATACTCGTTCATGTTTAGCGGAACATCGCTGAGTACTGTTACACGATTCTTTTTGGATTTGTTCGAGTTGGTACTGCAGGAAGCACCGACAGCAGCAGCAGCCGCTCCACTGCTCGTTGAAGGCGCCGTGGAAAGTTGACCTGGCGTGGGGGATGCCACCTGTGGCACATGTGTCTGCTGCGTCTGATGCTGCTGCTCTAACTGATGTTCGCTTTCAGCGCAGCTGCTACCTACGCTCATAAAGTCATCCTCATCGTCCGGTTGATGCTTGTTGATGCGTTTGTGCTTTCTTCCACTTACTTTTGCTTTGCGAGACTTTTTCGTTGTAGCTTTGTGAGAAGCTCTGCTCCGACTATCCTCGTGCTCATCGTCCCCATCTTCAACATGATCATCCATCTTCATGTGATCCTCAACATCGCTGTTAGCCCACCTAAAAAGGTAAAAACCAAATTTTAATAAAAGTCTGATCGATAGAATCTGGCAATGTAAAGTAAGACTTACCCCTTGTCATCCTCCTCCTCGTCTTCCTCTTCGTCGTCTTCGTCATCGTCGTGTATGTGCAGTACGCTAGGTGGTGACTGATAGATGCGTTCAATCACTGAGAACTCGCCGTCTTCCTTCTCAACACATTCGACAATATGCTTGGGAGTTTCCTGGACTATGAAGTCGCCATTATCCCGCTCCAAATAGTGAGCCACTGGCGATTCGGCATATCGCAGTACAGATGCACTGGATGAGGCGGGAGAGGCGCATGCAGCTTGCGCTGCAGCATTTAGCAGCGCACCAAAAGGTGAATTGGTTGTCTGGCGACTGCTGCTTGCACGTGCGACGGAGATGGATGACATCAATGCAGACGAGGAGTTAGCAGAGGCGCAGTTAGCTACCCCATAATTACTACTGCTGTTGCTGCTACTGCTGCCTGTAAGGGCTTGTGGATGCTGTTGCGGATATTGCAGTCTTAATGAGGCAGTCGACAATGTTGACGGAATTGTGAGCTGTGGCGGTGGTGGTGGTGGTGGATTCAAGAAGATATCCGTGTGAAGTTTACTATGTTTGCCACTCGGTGGTGCAAGGTTTATGTTATGTTGTAAGGTTATGTGTTGTTGCGGCGGCTGTTGTTGTTGTTGCTGCTGCTGTTGTTGTTGTTGTTGCTGTTGTTGTTGTTGTTGTTGCTGTTTATTTTGGTTGTGCTGAGATCGAATTTGACTGATGGCGGCGCCATAGGCGGGTGGTGGCTTCTGATGTGATTGCGTTGATGTCGCCTGCTGCGCAAAGAGCTGCACAAAAGAATGGAAAATTGTAAATTGATATTCAAGGTGTGCACAAAACTAATAAGATACTCACCTGCAGTGGTGGCAGCGCTGCTGCATAGGTGTACTTCATGGCCGGCTGATGCTGTTGCTGCTGTTGCTGAAGGTGGGCAAAATGGGCAGCCTGCTGCTGTGAGGCCAGATACTGATGCTGTTGCTGCTGCTGGTGTGTTGCTTGCGGTATTACCAGCGTAGTGGCACCACGTGCAAAGCTATGCACCGTAGTTGTTGCTGTTGGCGTTACCTGCTGGGATTGCTGGTCATAGCGATAGTCGGAATAGATGGCGGTCACGCTGTTTGTGGTGGGTGTATTTGATGTGTTGGCTGGCGCCTCAGTCGTAGGTGGCGCGCATTTTACTGCCTTTATCGGTGGATTGCTCAATTTGTTATTGTTGCCGCAGCTGCTGTTGCTGTTGCTGTTGCTACTGCTACTGCTGCTGTTGCTGCTGGGCAACGCATTTTTGGGTGCTGTTGATTTAGTTGCTGCCGTTGCCACTGCAACTGCAGCAGGTGCTGCTGCTGCTGTTGGTGTTATTGGTGGTGGTGGAGGTGGTGGTGAAGATGCTGGTACAACTGGTTTGACATCAACCGCATTCGTGGATGACAATGAGGTGGAGCTAGTGGCGCCATCACCAGAGAGCAATGCTGCTGCAAGGGCGCTGCCCATACCATTGTTGCTAACAATGGTCATTTGCACCAGAGCCTTGATGACCTGTTCCTTTGGATGTGTCTCCAAATGATCGGAGAGATTCATCCCCGCATGCAGATAAAGCGTGCACACGGGGCACTGCACACTGTCCACCATGATGACGACTGGCTGCTAACTCTGGCTAATCAAGCTACGTACGGTAGCAGCTGTTGCTAATGCACTCGACCTCTTACGCTCTCTCACTCTCTCTATCTCTCCCTCTCTCACCTTCTCTCTGTGTCTCGTTCAATATAAGTTTAAAGTCATAAAACTGTGACTTTCGGTGCTGTTGTTCGTGTAGCGGCCATTTTGCTCAATCCTTGAGCGGCGCTGCAAGTGAACAGAATAAAAAAATGGTACGTGATGAATACATGAATATACACATATTTATATGCTAAGAAACGAAGCTCGATAATAATTGCCGTAAGCTGACACTGATATCCAACTGATATGGCAAAGCCAAGAATTCGCACCGCTCAAACCCCGGATCGTTGCGACATAATCTGCGAAAACGTGCATTATATATTTGCTGTGGCCAAGTGGCAAGAGCAAAAGCTTTCGTTATGGAAAACATAAGAGAGACAACAGCAAAATTCCCAAGTGAGGAAACGACTAAGCGAAGGACGTGTGCGGCTGCCAGCCCCGCTGAATCAAAATCAAAAACAACAAATAAATATAAATATGCGTATGTATTGTAGTACCTATTATGCAGCTATATGATGTACAAGTATGCGTGTGCAATGGGAAGGCATGGGAACGGGAGACAACAGCGACAGCTACAGCAACAGCATCGGTTAAAGCTTCGTCCGCATGTGAACTGCTTGCTATAGAGGAAGAAGAGCACAGAGTGCAAATGGAATGGAATGGAATGCCCAGTTGTGCCAACAACAACACCAACAACTTTTGGAACAGCTTTTTCTGTGCATTCAACTTGTGAGGACGATGAGCACACGGCAACGTCGCGATAATGACGAGTTATTTGCTGGGCATGAGCAATAAATGCAATGAATCAGCAAATGCTGTGACTTTTCAATACAATACACAAAAATGTAGTGACTGTGATTTTCAAATGATTTATGCCACCTATTCAGATCAATAATTCATGAAACTGGCATGCAGAAATAACTTTACGTTTACATATATACATAAATTATAATTGATTTCCTTAACATGATCAAAAATGTTTGCTATGCGAGATTGTTATTTCCTTATCAATATTATTGTTATAACTCGATATGTATAAACATATACATTCCATTGCATTGTTGCAGCTTTACACAAACAGAAAAGTTTATACCGCATTTTAAAGCCTTTAGTATACGTGAATCCCATTTCTGCAACAATTCCAGCTGTGACAAAAAACAGCTGCTCACCATGAACAACAATAACTGATTTTCGTCATGTTTTGCAAAACTCAAACATTTTCTTTGTACCTAAGCTAGATATCGATCAACTCCAGCAAAGAGATGCTTTTAGTTGATAGTAATATCCCTAATATTTATTTCAAATGTACCGCAATTACTCCTTACTATGATCCAAATAACCACTAAGAATATCGATATTCGTCGCAAGTACTCAATCGTACTATTAGTACATGCACATAGACAAGTGTGTGTATACTCGAGTACATCGCGCTCATCTGTGCTCTAGCGCTGCTTTGTTGTTGTTAAGCACTGGCAATGCCGCTGGAAATGGTCAACTTTTTGCGTAGTTTTTTTTCGTGCACATCCACAACGGGTAATTTTTGTTTGTTTTATTTTATCTAAATATTGCTGTTGTATGTACATGCATATGTATATGGGCACTACACGTATAAGGGTTGTGCTGGGGCTGCACAGAAATAAAAACAGCAGCAATGTCTACGTCTGTTGCTATTGATTTTTCCTTTGAGTGAAGCTTACAATGCAAAACGATGAACAAGTCGCACAAAAATCAAAAGTGCGTGAGTGAGCGCACACATAGACACATCGATACTTCTCCAATGAGTACATACATTACAAAACTAAAAAGAACTCATGTGGAGAGTGTAAGTGCCACCTTCTTTACCTACCTTCGCTTCTACTGCTGCTGCTGCAACGACTGCTGCAGTAGTATGTGTGTTAGTATGATCTTGCTCAGGACTGCTAACTGCGGGTTATAGCGAGCTCTGATTGCGTTTCGTATTCTGATGCGTTGATTTTCCACATACGCACAAAGCACTACCGATTGCTATACTTGCCCACACACACGCACACACACATGCACACAATTTCAGAGTATTTCCGCTTTGTGTTTCTTTAATTTTCTCTGTTCTCTTTTGAATTCATTCAAGGAGAGACGTACACACACACACACCGAAAACAATGTTTTATGAGCACTAATTGTAATTGCATTTGTATGGGATATGTGTGTTCAATAAAAACTTTTATATACAGGCGGCGTCAATATCGATCGTAACGTGTGTGCGTGTGTGTGTTTGGTAAAGACAAGGGCAAGATTTCTCCAATAAACATGCGGGGGTAAAGAACAGAGCGTAGTATCCTTGATGGGGCACCTGCAGCTGTTATTATATATGTATGTATGTATTTTGTATGTAATTGCTACGTTGTGGTTTGGGGACTCCTTGGTCTTGGTCTGGTCGTCGCCTCTTTGCCTCGTTCAATGACACAGAAATCTTTCTTCTCGTCTTTTGCTTTGTGCGCTCCTTCTTCAATATACAACTGAGCTTTTATATACATATATGCTGTGAATGCGAGTGCGAGGCCATTGCTGCGTTTATCTTCATGTGTGTGTGCGTGTGTGTGCTACACACAAAGTAAATTTTCAATCACGTTTTTCATGCACTTGGTATAGATTTTCTTTCGGGCATTTATGCAAAACTGATGTACGCCTTTATTAGCTACAACTTGGTGATATTTTTAGTGATTTAAATTCACTTTGCACTATTAAATAGCCGTCATTTCGATTTCACCTTGCGACAAATGAAAAATTACAACACCAGGCGTTAGAGTGTTGTAAAACTTATGATTGTAGCGTTTGAACGCTTGCCAACACTAAGCTGTGCTAAGCAACTCTGTGTGGCTGCATCATTGGGAATTTTTTAGCCGACTGTGGAACTCGCATTCAGAATAATTTATAAGAATTTATTGTTTTATTAATAGTGAACTTCAATTCAATACTATCAAAATGGCAGACAAAGCACAAGAACAGAGTATTATGGATAAATCCATGAGATCTGTCTTTGTTGGCAACATACCATACGAAGCCACTGAGGAGAAGCTTAAGGAAATTTTCAGTGAAGTCGGCCCGGTACTTTCTCTTAAGTAAGTCCTGTTCCTACAAATCATGATTGATAGATTGAATAGATAATTTTATTTTTCGTCTACGTGCGTCTTATAGACTTGTATTTGATCGCGAGAGCGGCAAGCCCAAAGGGTTTGGCTTCTGCGAGTACAAGGATCAGGAAACTGCATTAAGTGCCATGCGCAATCTCAATGGCTACGAAATTGGTGGGCGCACTTTGCGTGTGGACAATGCTTGTACAGAGAAGTCACGTATGGAGATGCAACAGCTACTGCAAGGACCACAAGTGGAGAATCCGTATGGTGAACCCTGTGACCCAGACGATGCACCTGAGCTAATTACCAAAACAGTTGCATCCCTACCGCCAGAACAGATGTACGAGCTGATGAAGCAAATGAAACTGTGTATTGTGAGCAATCCATCGGAGGCACGTCAAATGCTTATGCTAAATCCGCAGTTGGCCTATGCTTTGCTCCAGGCCATGGTGGTGATGCGCATTGTTGATCCACAACAGGCATTGGGTATGCTCTTTAAAGCTAACCAAATGCCCCCCGTTCTGGGTGGCAATCCTCACTCCAATCCGAGTGCTATGCCCATGGGCTCAGCTCCGCAGCAGCAGCCACCGCCGCAACAGCAGCCACCTGCACAGTCGGGTGGTGTTGGAGGCCCTGGACCAATGCAGCCCATGCCTGTACCCGGGCCGAACTTCAATAATATGCATTCGAATGACATCGACTTACGTATGGGGCCCGGTGGGCCGGTTAATATGGATCCGCGCATGATGGGGCGCAATCTGGACCAGGACATGCGCCAGGTTCCTGGCCCAATGCCCAATCCTGTGCCGCCACCACTTATGGATCCACGTACTCGCGCCCAAATGCAGCCGCAGCAACAGCAAGGACCGCCAGCCGCGCCCATTCCATACCCAAGCGATCCACGTCAACGCCCAATGGATCCCCGTCTACGTGGTGCCATGCCACCAGGTCCAGTTCAGCAGCAGGTACAGCCGCCTCCACAGGTGCAACAAACAGTGACGCAGCAGCAACAATCGGCAGCATTGCAGCTGCAAAGCCGATTAGGAGCACATGGCGTATTACCATCCGATGCTTCAGACCAGGAGAAGGCGGCACTCATTATGCAGGTGTTACAATTATCTGACGATCAGATTGCACAGCTACCACCTGAGCAACGCGCCAGCATTCTGGTGCTTAAGGAGCAGATAGCTAAAACCAGAACCGCTCGCTAAATAACTAAATTCCGAGTTTTATTGTACAACATTTGAATGGAAAACTTATAATAATGATTAATAAAGAGGATTCACATGTGAGTTGGAATTGTTTCAATGAACAGACACCAGTGTCTGGTGAAGCTTCTGCACGGTAGTATTTAGCATTTGCCTCAGCACCTCATCCTCGACACATTGCACAGTCTATAATGGAAGAGATATAATATATAATTTGCAAATTTTGGAATAATTCCCATCAATAGTCATTACCAATGTATCCAAATTAATTTCGGCGTGCTTGCCGCTGACGGTAACCGGCAGCAAATCGCCTTTGAACAGCTTGGGCACGCAGCTGTCGCCGAAGGTATCCTGCAGTGTCTCGATGAGGCATTCTCGAAAGCGAGATTCCTCTGATTTGGTTTGCTTCGTAGCACCTTTGATGTTTGTGCCACCCAATTCGGATTGCATTAGGCAAGCCAGTACAGCATCCGCGTAGACATCATTCACATGAGTCGCATGCCATTCCATGACAATAATCTTTTGCTCCACAGTCAGTTCAACGCAATTGAAGACACGTAGTTTACGGTCTGGCTCGACAATCTCAACACAACCCGCGCCTATTCGATCGAGCAGTAGTTGAAGCGTGGCCAACGAACTGGTCCAAGGTATTGACTGACGCTGTGTGACCACAGACATGCTCATGTCTGTGTACTCTAAAAGAGAGAGGCAGGAGGCTGAGTACAAGCTGCGCAGCTAAATAATTAGTCAATTATACTTACTGCCCAGATCCGAGGGTGCCAGCAGATGGTACTTAAAATCGCGCTTTACCAACACGCCAGAGAGTTTGCTACCCACCTCTGGTTTCTTAGCCGCCAGATGACCCATCACCTTAGCAGTTTTCTCGCCACGGAAGTAGAGATCTACAGCGTGAGTATTGCGGGGATTATAGAATTTGATGTCCGTGCTGGCGTCTGCTTCATATTCACGTTGCAGCGCGAGCTTTAAGCGTGACATCTCATTCTGTTCTCCATGGACGAGAACCACATGGTTGGGTCTTAGCATGCGTATAAACTCACTCGTCTGTTGATAATCTGTATGAGCCGAGAAGGATATATAATCGACGGACATGTTCAATGGCAGCTTTTGGCCAGATAAGGTTGTTATCTCCTCTGGCTCGGATAGAATGGTCTTGGCAAGTGTGCCCTCCACACAGTAACCGGCTATGATGACGCCATTCTTGGGATCTGTGCACCAGCTTTCGAAGAGCTCCCGCGACAATCCTGACTGCATCATACCCGGCGACGCCATTATCACACAAGGTCCAATATCATCAAAGTGATCGATGCCCTTTAAATTGGAAATATGACGAAAGACAAATGGATTGTTCACAGCAATCTGACGACGAATGCGATCGTTCATGGCATTGATATAAGTCTGATAGACGGCCATGCATTTTTTGGCCAGCGAGGAGGCATAATATATGGGTATCTCGTGAAGATCCGGATTCTGTGACCAGAACTCATCCAATATCAACAGTAGCTCTTGGGCACGGCCCAAGGCAAACACTGGAATGAGACAGCGACCACCTTGCATTACGATTTTTTGCACCAGCGATGTGAAACGACTTTCGCGATCTTCGCGTTTTTCGTGTATGTGGGTGCCATAGGTTGATTCTGTGATCAACACATCTGGTTTTTTGGGCGGCACCTCGGCGGCCATCAAATGACGATCCTCTTGACGTGAAAAGTCGCCCGTATAAAGGATCTTAATACCAGCGATCTCTATCATGAACATTGCAGCGCCCAGTACATGGCCAGCGTTATAGGCGCAGAAGCGAACACCCATCACATCCCGTTCCTCGTGAAAATTGATTGTTTCAATTTTTTCCATGGATGCCTCCAGGTCAGCCTCTGTGTAAAGCATCTGCTCTGTGGATATATTACTGATTTTAATGTAATCTGAGAGCATCCAGCGGTAAATTGCTTTGGTGGCATGTGTCATAAAGCAACGACCGCGAAAGCTTGTTTTCATTAAGAACCATGGCAGAGCGCCGCAGTGATCCAAGTGGAAACTAAAAACCAAATAAAATTATATTATAAATTCACGGAATTTAAGGAAAATTGCAAACGCACTGTGATATGAATAGCAAATCAATTTCATCAGCTTCTATTAAGTCCACATAGGGGAGTGCATCCATGCCAGATAGTCCAGGATGTATGCCACAGTCCAACATTATTTTCTTACCCTTGAACTCCAGCATGATGCATGAGCGTCCTACTTCTTGGCCAGCTCCTCTAGAAGAGGGAAAATTTTACATCAGTGCTGACTTAAAAACGTTGTTGGCTACTTACAGCGGCTTAATTTGTAATAGATCGCTCTCTTCATCTGGCACTCTGGAGTCATTATTTTGTTGTGATTGCGCCATTCCGTATTAATATGTTAAAATTAAGGTTTTATACTTTCGACGTTTGCCGGCAACAAAAATGCGTTCAATTATTCCACATATGATGTCTGCAATAATCGATGAACAATTATCGATAGCAATGAGAAACACCAAAAAATACGGTATTTTTATTTTGAAACTGATTTATTATTTATTATATACAAAATAGAATACATGTTAAAATTAGGAAAATCAGAGTTCTCATTTTCCCGCTTAGAACACTTAATTCATTTTATGGTGCATCTTCGTTTAATTTGTAAAAGGAAAATACCATATGATTTGTTTCATCAGCCCTGGTATCTCTAGTTGAATTTCATTGTATTTGTTGGTACATGCAAATAAAACTTATAATTTAACCAAATGCAAATGGTTGGCTCTAGCTACGATGGTAAATATTTGTGCTAAACTGCTTACTTGCCTATGTGCTTACACCGTTTTTCAAACAAACACCAAGTGCTACGCAAGCAGGCGCGCACCTTAGAAAATGAAATCGACCTCAAACTTGTGGCATTCAGCAAAATCGGAGCTGGCAGCAGCATAAGTAGCAGCAACAGCAGCGCTGCTGACACATCACCTCTGCTCGGCGAACATGTATTCGATTCACTATCTGCTGAAATAGAGCAAATGCTCGATAAGGTATGATGTTTCATATGCTTTATAAATTATATCCAATTGATCCTCATTATGTGTAGTTATCGGCGCTCAATGAATCGATGTCAGAACTGCCTGCAACGGGAAGCGCTGCAATGCACACACTGCAACGGCACAGGGAAATACTCCATGGTTACAGACAGGAGTTCAACAAGATCTGTGCCAATCACACTATGCGCATCGAGCGAGAGGAGCTGTTACGTGGCTCAGGGCTAGCCACTAGTGGTAGTCCCTCGATTTCAGGACTCAGTCGTCGTGAGATGTATATGAAAGAGAGTGGGCATTTGAGTAGCGCCAGCAACATGGTAAATGATCAGATAAACATCGCAATCGAGACACGCGATAACCTGCATGCACAGCGACAGGCATTCAAGCGACTGCAGACTCGCTTTAACGACATATCCAATCGTTTTCCCTTAATATCAAGGTAATATAACAAAAGAAAGTATATTTTTTAAAACGATAACTCCAGCTCTGATTGTATATTGCAGTTTGATACAGCGCATCAATATCAAAAAGCGACGAGATTCGCTCATTTTAGGGGCGGTAATAGGCTTCTGTGTCATTTTGCTGCTAATTTATGCCTTTAATTAAGGCGAAGCATTTGACACTTTTCTGACAATTATTTCTGTATTTTTTCTCTATTTGGTATATGTATGTGTATAATCAACTTGTGATAGCAATAAAATGTAATATTTAAGTATATGCCAGTTCATCAATAAACCAAAAAAACATATAAATAAAATTAAAAATTAGTTTAGCAACTTTTTAAATTAAAAGTTAACGAATCGTTGAATTGCCCACAATCGATAGAAGTGTTATCGAAATAGCTTAATGGTTCCTGACAACTCTGACGCAACAGCTGCTTCATGCGATGTGATAACAATTCCAACTATTTCCACACGCCTAACAAATTAATATAGTTTAATCCAAATACTGTGTGAACCACAGATTGTTAACGTAAATACAGTCATGTCAGTGGCACCCAACGTTGACCCGAAGGTCGATGGGGCACCCAAGCCCAGAATCCTAGACACCGCGGAACTTGATAGAATGGCCATGCATTTCGTGGGAAATATGAACAGATACCGCGAGAATATAATTATACCCAAAAGTAATGGGCCAGTCAAAATCAAAACAAACGAGGAGAAACTCATAGAAACTGCCGTGGAAAGCTGTGCTTTCAAGAGTGCCATGGCCTGCGTTATGGGTGAGTTGAAACTGACGATATAAATATTACGAATTTGACACATGTTTATTTGTTTATCCATGCAGGTTACGGACTTGGCGCAGCTTTGGGTCTGTTCAGCGCCTCCGTGAATCCAAACATGGCGGATCCATTCGCAAATGAAAAGAAACAGACGGCACGTGAGGTGTTTCGCGAGATGCGCGGCACAACTCATTCGTATGCCAAGAATTTTGCGCTAATTGGCGCCGTCTTCTCTGTTGTCGAATGCACCATAGAAAGCGTAAGTGAAGCGGGGGCTTGTCTATTGTTCACTCACATGAATTTATATATATGTATTTCTATTTACTAGCAACGTGGCGTAACCGACTGGCGTAACGGTACCTATGCGGGCGGCATAACCGGCGGCTTAATTGGTCTACGAGCGGGCATTAAGGCAGGTATCATTGGCGGCTTGGGCTTTGCGGCATTCTCCTCGGCGATTGATTACTATATGCATATGAGATAAGGCGTAGTTAACGTCGTGTTTGTATATGTAGCTCCTATAAATGTGTGTTCTTAATTACAAATCTGGTTTTTATGCCTTTAACCTTTAAAGTTGCCGCAAAGGCGGAACGCACCGGAAATGCACGCAAATCAACGTTTAACGAGCTCTGCACGAAGAGCTTTTCCTGCATTTGGGGCCATTATTTAAGACGCACACACACACACTCACAAACGCGCGCGCGCACACACAGCTGCTACACATTAATATTAAAGCATTGAAATGCGCAGTCGCGCATTTCGGCAGTGGCATAAACAATGTGCCACAGTCTGAAATTCGGGCAGCGACCGGTTTTTGGGGAGGCTCGTCGATGGGTGGGGTAAAAGGGGCAGTCGCTTCCAGCTTGTGGGAACGGCCATCGATATCCAGCTTAAGGCAAGCGCAACAGCATGGACAGAGAATGTTTGTTGCGACTGTTGCTGCTGCGGCTGCTGCTGCTGCTGCTGCTGTGGTAGTTGCCGCTTTAACGATTTCCAGTTTCAGTTGAATTTGAGCAACAGGCAGGTAACGATCGTCGCATACGGTGCTTCAGTTTCGCTTTCAGTTTCTGTTCGTTTGATTTAAGCCCCAGAACGAGGATGAACCACGGCGGGCAGCTGCAAAAGTGCAATAACAACAAATCGTAAACGGGTTTCAGGTTGCAAGTTGAAAGGCGTCGCGTGCAACGTTGTCTGCGGTTTCTAAGCGTGTAAAAAAATAGTCTGAAAAAATATAAAGAAAATTCAAATTTACAGTGAATACAAATATCGATGAGTCAGTCGGGGTCTGTTTTGTTTATGCAACCAATTGCCACACAACGGGCGACCACAAACATTTATTTGCTTTTCTTATTTTTTTTATTCTGTTATTTTTGTTGTACAGTGTACACCAGCTGCCGACACTTGGTGTTGTTGTTGCTGGCATCAATTTGCATGTTCTTCGAACAGCTCAATTTGTCTCGTTGTATCAATGCATACACATACAGGCACATGCACACACACACACAAGCATGCTTAAGTATGTATGTATGTGTATCTAGATGATGGCGCAAAGTTCAATGGAACGTAGTGACACACACGCTTGTTGCCATTGCAATTGGCCTCTTCGCGTCTAATTGGAGTCGGCATTTCTTTAATATATTTCCTGTGCCTGGAATTCTTCTCTGTTGCTCAATATTTATGAATCAAGCAGCAACCGAGAGTCAACAGCTGAGTCAACTGTGTTGCTCTTCTTGCTGAATGCGACACATATCCGCTATCTTATCCGCCGAAATCATTGACGCTCGTTGCTCAAATTAAAGAGCAATAACAAGAACACGTCGGGTCTATTGTTTCAGACAGTTGGCGTCTGGCATTGGGTGCATCAGCATAAGACGACCTTGCAGCAGAACAAAACCAAATCAAGACACCCTGTACTAGCAGCCCACAGTGGCTTAGCCGAGAGCGAAAGTATCTGCTTGGTAAAGTACGAGTGAGAGAACGAGTGAGCGAGAGTGCAAGAGAGCGCGCGTGTAACGGCAAGTGTTGCTCTCCCAGCTGATATCTAATCAAAACAAATAGTGCCTCAACGCGTTCTGCGGTTTGAATCATTTACCTTAGTTTCAATTCAACTTCGAAAAGTGTTTGTGGTAGCTGTTTATTTCGCAGCGCAATCGAATTCGACTGAACACATACATAAATAAAAAGAAAACAGTGTAATTAAAACCGAAAAGTGTTTTCAATTGTAATTTTATCCATAAAAACCAACAAGAAACAAAATAGTTGATCAAATTTCAATAAATACAGCTACAGCATGAAGTACAAATTTTTGCTACTGGTGAGTGAACAAATTAGTATATATAGTCGCATGCATGTCTATGTATCTGTATCTAAAATTTCGAACGGTTTTCTTATCTTATCTGAAATTGTTGTTATTTTTTCCTGCGCTAGGGTCAGCTATGGAGCACCTAAATAAAATACATAGTGAAGATTATATACATACATTGATGTTGTTCAGATAGGTTATATATGTATGTATGTATATTTGTATGTATATATATATAAATATATATGTAATATAATAATAATGTGTATAATACTCGACTTAGGGAAACCTTTTTATGATAGGTAGAACTTTCAAAAGCATTATTTAGTATTATCAAATGATATATAATATACATTTTTTTTAATTTTATTTTGATAAGTATATAATAATAGTATTAAGTTAAAAAGGCAGCTAACATTAATCATATAAAAGCTTTAAATGTGTAAGGCCAATATCTAAATGATCTAGTTAAAATTTTATATTATTTATTTTATTTTATTTAATTTTTTTATAATTTTGTTTTTTAAAGTTTTTAATCTTTCAATAATTTTTTAATATATTAGTCCGTTTAAATGAGATATATTAAAGATAATAGAGGGCATTTTTTCTACTCAGTAGTTCGTTTGGATATGCATAGAAAATCTATAGAAAATTGTTTTATATTTTTGCCTTTAGAAAAATAATATAATATGCATCTATTCCTCATTAATCTAAATTGTTATTCACTTTAAGAACTGTGCCACATACATATACACACACACACACACACACACATTTACATACATATGTTTGCTAATCTACAAATATGATTTCTTGCAGCTTGTCAGTGCTGAGGCTCTGCTGCTGGGTGTCGTACTGGCCCAGCAGGAGAGTATACCCTATCAGCCCGTGGCGAACATATGCGAGACTTGCACCTGCCTGTCCGCCCAGGACACGAATCATCGCTTGCACCAGACTCTGAACTGTGCCATGAAGAACTTCGAGCACATTTTGGCACGCTGGCCGCCGGAGTTTGGCAGCCAGCATGCGGACATGGAGATTGTTGCCTCGTTTTCTGGCAACAGCATACGGCTGCTGCAACAGCTACCTGCCACAAATGGCACGCTGACGTTTTCGTGCCGCCACTGCGGCATACAGCAGCTGGAGGTGCCGCTCTTTATGGATGTGCCCAATGTGGAGGGTCTCTATCTCAGCTGGAATGAGATCAAAGACGATGCTCTGAAGCCGGATCTGTTTCGTGGTCCCTTCAAGGCTACCAAATACGAGCCAATTGGACTGAAGGACTTGGATCTCAGCCACAATAGCATCTCACGGCTGGATCGCAAGCTCTTCGAGCACACGCCGCAGTTGAGAAAATTGGTTCTGTCCCACAATCGTCTCAGTGTGCTGGATGCGGCAACAGCTGCTTCGTTGGCTTCCATTGCCAATCTGCAACGCTTGGATCTGTCGCACAATGGTTTGCTAGCGCTGCCCGGCGAGCTCTTTGCCAAGCTGAGTAATCTCTATCAGCTGGACATTTCGGGCAATGAGTTCGCTGTGGTGCCACCCAGCATACAGCAGCTGGGCAAGAGTCTGCAGCAGCTAAGTCTAGCGGGCAATCCCTTGGCCAAGATCGAGGCCCAGAGCTTTCGTCAGCTGGACGCACTGCGTCGCCTGAACATCAGTGAGATGTTAATGCTGCGCAGCATTGAGCAAGGCGCTCTGCAGCTACCTGGCTTGGAGCAACTGGACTGTGCACGCAATCCCAAGCTGGACCGACTGGAGTTCATGGATTTGCTGACCAGCCGAAATCTAACGCAACTGGACATCTCGCAGAATGCGCTCACGACACTCACACTGACTGCAGCCAATGCGACCAGCTGGCCAAGGCTGCGTAGCCTGGCCATCGCCGGCAATCCCTGGTACTGCAGCTGTGAGCTGCTCCAGGCACTCGAACAGGCCGGCGCACCTCAAGTACTGCAGTCACCCAGTCTGGCGGTCGCTCGCTGTGATACGCCCTACTTGCTGGCCGGGCTGCCGCTGACCAATCTAACTGCTGAGCAAATCTGCAACATGGTCATACCCAAAAAGTATCGTGCTGTCGAGGATGATCCGCCCAGATTTCTGCGCCGCCGCTATATCATCCTCACGGTGATCATTGCCAGCGTCGTTGTCGTCGCCGGCCTCATCATTGGCTTCATTGTGGTCTGCGTGCGTCGCCGGCTCAAGGGCAACGACTATGGCGTCCAGCCCATACGCTACACAAGTGTGCGTGGCAGCAATCTCTCTGCCTTCTCGCAGCTGCAGCCGGTTTCGGTGACCACCAAATTCAATAATGCAGCCGCAGCTGCCGCCGCAGCTGGTGCTACAGGCGCACCCAATGCCTGAGACCGGCTCGCCAATCCCACCTGCTGCACGTGCCCTGAGCCAAAGATGTTCACGAAAGTGTTTCAGCCACAACACAAACAAGACTTTGCGTGCATGCATTTGCTTGTGTATATAGTATATAGTATATGGTATATATATATATATATATATATGTATTCCAACTCCCTTGGAGGAGACTTGCCTTCATATCCCTAGTGTCTAGTGTTGCCATCGATGTTTGTATTGTACTTAAGTTTCGTTAGTTCTTAATGATTGTGAAATAAAATGCATTTTTATAAACAGTTTGAGAGAATTATGCATTTTTGATTGGATACCGTGGTCACTGGTGCTTAAAGAACTTCAATTGGCCAATCTTGTAGTAGACAATCTTGGCTAAGACAAAAAATTGAATTTAGTATATTAAAATATATGCCTGAAATATAATCACTTTCCAGTCTTCGAATTACTACTGTAAGACATGAGTGAACAATACTTTATTTTCCATTTTAATATCTATTTGAATATTAATTTAGCGAAAATCATCAGCACCCACAGTAAGCACTGCGATATAACGAATATTTAGTAAAAACTTCAACAAAAAAGTTGCCTTAAGCAAAACTCTAAAATTATAACTTTTGTTTAGCTATATTAAAATATACAATTTTTATATATAGAATTACTCTTCGTTCTTAGGAACGAGCAACCACTGTAGGGGAACAATAGGCAATCTCAGTTCATGAGATTCAAGGATTATTTACATGCCATAACATTCTCTCTAAATTAGTTTATTGATTTTTTGTTATTTTTTTTGTTTTCTGGTTTTTGTACGACTTTTTGTACAGAACGAATAAAGAATCCGGGAAAATAATGAAAGGCGAAAACAGTCAGAGGCCAATGGCGAACTGCTGGCGCAGCTGTGCCACTTGCTTATCTCATAAATGTTTATAGATAAATTGTGAAACTCAAAAGATAATGTGACTAATGGGGTCTAGCATTCGCTTTCGATCAGCTCCTCCTCCATGGCTGGCGTTGACCGTGGCAGCGAGGTGTTTGCACTTGAGGCCAACAGCTGACGCATGTGTCCGTCCAACTGGAACAGATTCACAGCCTCTTTCTGAGCAAGAAATTGACGCATTTCGGCAAAATTATCGCGTTCTTTGATTTGTTTGCTACGCAGTTCGTATGCCTCATCGGCTGAGTCAAATTCGGAGTCACTCAGACTTGTTGGCTCCGTCAGACGATTATCTTGTTGCTGCTGCTCCAACAGATCCACTTTGCCAAACAGCTCATCCACATTTATGCCTTTGGCGGCGAGCACTTCGCGTTCCTTTTCCAGCATCACTATGCGAATGGGATCGATACGATCTTTGAGCTGTCGCAGCACTGGCTTAAACTTGCCCTTGGTAATGCGCTTCTCAAAGTTGAGCAGTTCCTTTTCGGGTGTCGGATATGGTGCCTGTTGCTCATTCTCGTACTGACGCGCTTCTTGCTCGTCGTACATGTAGGCATAGAAGTCATCACATCTTTGCGGCTCATTGGGATGCTGAGAGAACTCAACACGCAATATGCTTTCCGGAAATTCATCGTGCTTGGTGGGCGACTTAGTTTTCTTGGCCGGATCAGTGCCCAAATCCAACTTACTATTTAAAAATTTGTTATAGACAAGCATCAGACGCTGGAAATCATCGCAGCAAACTGCCAGAGCATTCTCAATGCCACGCATATTATTGGCTACAGCCACAAGCTGGTCTGCATTGTTTTTCTTGGCTGCCTCGGCTGCGGTTAACTGCTGTAGGGTGACATCCAGTGCCTGACATTCACCGGCCACGGCTACCATACAGGCGCTGAGTTTCAGGGACGAGTGTTGCAGCACCACAATGGGACCACTTTTGCCTTGTTCAGTTTTGGCTGCGTGCAGCTGCGCGATCTCCATTTGCTTCTTATTCTGCATGGCAATCGACAGATTCTTGAAATGTTGCTCCTCCTCTTGCACGAGCTGTCGCACTTGGTTGTCGATCTTCACCAGATCCTCACTCAGCTGCGAAATTGAAGGTCGCGTCAGAATGGTAAGCGCCAGACGGAGCAAATACTGTGACTGCACATATGCGAATATGTTATGAAAGTCCTGCAGTAAATATATAATATATAAGTGGAGAATATCTGATAAGCATAAGTCATAGTAAGTACCTTGATGTGCTTCGGACTGTAGTCCGTCACATTGTTCTTAAAGTATTCGCATTCGCGCAGCTCTTCCATGGGCGCATAGTAGGGTCCGTATTTGGGGGGCAGGGGATAGTCGAGCTCCAGTTTGCGTGTCGCATCATAGAGTATTTCGGTTACCTCCTTAGCCGCCGTAATGCAGTCCCAAGCGCGCTCTATTTGACGTGATCTATGAGCAGAAGGTCAGTTGCAAATAAGTTGTTTTATTACTTTGCTTGCACTTACTCAATCAGCTCGGCCTGTTTCATAATGATAATCTCTTGAAAGTACGTCATGTTGCGCCTTATACAATTGCCAAACTCATCGATGGTCTTTACCAGCTCCTCGAGTTTTCGCTCCACAATTTTATTGCGGCACACAAAAACGCTTTTGACCACACACAGAACGCCAAATGCGGTGGTTAAGAGGAAGGATGGCATCACGGACAATCGCATGCCACGCGGAGTAACTAGGTGCTGTAGAACGGTGCCGCTCAACAAAATGCAGGCACTCCGCGTGGTTAGCAACTGCCGGCCGGTTGCTTTTTCATGATGGAGTTGGATGCATTGCTCCAGAGATTCCACATGATCAACTAGCAGTCTTTTTGAATAGAGTATGCGCTGCAGCAGCTGATCTGTTATCGCCTATTAGGGTATTGCTTGTCTCAGTATTTATATACGTACATTTATTTTCAACACGGCACTCACCTGTTTCTGTTTTAGCTCGTTGGCTAATCGACGGCGTCCTAAACATTTCTGTGAGTAATATGTGCATAAATATTTATTTGCAGCTATTAATATTTTGCAGCAGAGCTTACCGTTAACCTTTCCATTATATGCGTAATTATTTTGCACAGCAATTTAGTGATTTATTTATTACATTGGCTTTCAACAATATTTACGTTATTCATATGTGCATACCAGGGATGCACTTGCGAGACAAACTGATTTGATGTCTCGCTCTAACATATAGCATTTTCCATGCGATGATTAAACGCAGATCCAAAACAAACGTGAACGCAGCAAGAGTAACGTAAGCGCGAAATTGAGCAACGTTAACGCAATATTGTCGAGCTTATCGACACATTACTATGGGTATAACCGGTAATTTTTTAACTTAACATTTCAAAGCAAAATGAGTGAATTATTGAAATTTTGTTTCACCAGTTGAATACATTAGAGTATCTGTCAAATATAAAGAATTAAAAAAAATGTTCTCTGCACATAAATTATGCTTTTGTAAACCACGTATATATGTATATGTGTATATAAGTATAAATGTAGAACTAGAATATGTAAAAGATCAGCTTAGCCAAGGTTCAGGGTATCGCGTAGTCAGGCACGCCCAACTAGCACTTTCATAGCATTATAATCATTATTGTAGTCTTAAGCATCACAGCTGCTTTAGCACCCACCAATTGACTATCACCTTCCAACTAACAATTAGAATGCGAAATAAAAAAAGTCCTGATTGATGCAACCTGCTGGCAATTATTATCCAATTGTGGCTGGTGCTAGATTTCCGTATATATAGACGCTGTGAATAGCACAGCTTTGCAGTGTTTGAAAAAATTTGGAGAAATATATTGCTTGACATGGACACCGTAAATAAGCCTATTACAATAGAAGAGTTCTTTGAATTTCAGAAATTTCAGCAAGTTCTTCATTTTTTACACTTCAAATTTTATCGCAATGATGAGGGACGCATAGTTAACAGATCGGTATTGGTTTTCTTCACGGGATTTTCTTTGGACTTCTGGTTTTTTGCTGTAAACTGCTTTGATATTATCCGGTCGCGGTATCTAGGCGAGATTTCCAATCAAAATCTGCCTGTCCTAAGTATATCGGTTTATTATACGATACGAGGAATCATGTTGTATATGAAGCGACACGACATTGTCGACTTCATCAACGTGATGGATCGCGAATTTCCAAAAGATTTGGCTACACAAAAGGTGCTCCAAGTGCCGGACATATATGAGCGGCATGCCAAGCGCCAAAGATATGTCGGTTACTTTGCATATTGTGCACTTGGCGGCTTCTGCATGGCACCGATTATTTTTTACATACACGACTATGACGGCCGGAGTGCGCCCATCCAGCTGGACCATCAGCTGCTTGGAGGTTGGCTACCTTTCAATCTCAGGCAGAACCATAACGTTTATCCTTTGGTGTGGCTCTACGACGTCTACGCGATGTTAGTCGGGGTCACCTACTTCACCACCTTCGACACGCTGTTCAGTGCGCTGCAGACGCAGCTGATCATGTATCTGGGCGGCCTGCGTAGGCAGATAGAGCAGCTCGATTGCGCCGAGAGTGTGAATCCCATTAATGAGCGACAGTTCTATGAGCGCATCAACGGTATGATACGCCGGCAACAGGAGATCAATTTGTTATGCGAGAAGTTCATTGACATTTTTAAGCTTTCGATTTTTATAAGTGACCTGGTGGGCGCAACGTCTATCTGTTTCCATTTGTATTTAATGAGCGAAGCGGATGATATGCTAACAGTTGGCAAATACTTATGCCCCACCATGGCTTTGGTGATCTTCACTTTTGAGTGCTGCCTGCGTGGCACACAGCTCGAGGAGGCGGTGAGTATAGCGATATAAGAATTCTTTCAACGAATATATCTTATCTAATATATTCCCAGTCTGCTGGCTTGAATGAGTCATTGTATAACCAAAACTGGTACGCTGGCAGCAAGAAGTATCGCAGGCTGATTGTGATCTGGATAAGATATACTCAGTGTACTCGAAAATTAACTGCTTATGGCTTGGTAGAAGTGAACATGATGCACTTCTCGGACGTAAGTAGAGCTTCGATTCTTTGTGAGGCATATTCAAATATTTCCTATTTCAGATTATGCAACTTGCCTACAGACTGTTCACTTTTCTCAAGTCACGACAGTAGATATGCAGAGCATAAGGTCTTATCCTGGTCGCAATCGACACTCAGTCAAAAAACGGAGTTAATTTTTTGCAGAATATATAGAAGAAAGATAAACCACAATTTGATTAGCAGCGTTCAATCTTAAGCACACAGTAATCCTAGCTCTAATATATGCCTATATCAATTTAGTTTCACCGTCAGAATTTAACAATTGCAATGTTTAGTAGAATATTTTAAAATTCAACTATATCTTTATAGTTAAAAGCTGAATTTCTAGTCATTGTACGTTCAAATTTTTATAATATATATAATTATATAAATTGGCATTGACATGAGTTCAATCTGTTCGATTCGAAGCCTAGCCCCAATCTCTGATAAGTATTTAGATATTCTACAATACATATATAACACCTTTAAAATTAAATGTTAAATTCGTAGCAGCTGGCAACTGAGATCCTTAACTCTCATAAACACCAACACTCATTATTGTTTTTAGTTATATTTTTATTATTATTTAGACTTATGTACTTAGCATAGTTTGTGTTCACGTTTACATAGAATTTGTATACACATAAAGATATCTAGAATATTAATATCCCATTTACATATCATCTGCATTTTTAAAATGATTATCTAAAACAAATCTTTCCTCAATATCGACCGTTAAACAACATATGGAGTTTCTTCTTCATATTCGCCTGCGTTATAAATATATAAAGGTGTGTGCTAATAAGACAGGATGTTAATGTATAAAAGAACTGTAAAATAAATAACATAGGCATGTTGCTGCTGTTGTGACACCAGCTGCTAGTTTCCTCCTAGAAGGCAAATGGAATGGAATTTCTGCCAAAAGTCGCGACGTTAAGGACGACGAGCTGAGTAGTTGAGGGGGTCGCAGTTGGTGCTCCTGCTGTGTCGCTATTTACACGGGATAGGTGGCGGGCAAGGCACTAGGATATTCGAGATCGTACATTTGAGCTTTGATGAACTCCAGCTTGTTTTGTGGCTCCGGCTGTACGGTAGCTAGTCCGTTTTTGTAGGCATAGGTTACGATGCTTTCCGCAATGCACATCGAGCACTGCATAATCGAATTGAGTGGCGGATACAGGCTACCTTTTTCCAGGTCATCCTTGGAGACCAGAGAGGCCAAGGTTTGGGCAGAGAGGAGGAACACCTCCTCTGGTATGGTCAGCATGCCGGCGCACAAAACACCCAAAGCAACGCCCGGAAAGATATACGAATTATTGCCTTGGCCGGGATAAAATTTACGCCCATTGTAGGTGACTGGTGCAAACGGTGAGCCGGAGGCAAAGATGCAGCGACCTCCTGTGTGGGTGTAGGCTTCCTCAGCGGTGCATTCAGCCTTGCTGGTGGGATTGGACAGTGCAAATATGATGGGCGCCTCGTTGATTTCGGCCATTTTCTCGAGAATCTCCTTGGTAAAGGCGCCGCCCTGTGCCGAGGCACCAATCAACACGTTAGGACGCACCTTGTTAACAGCCTCCAGCAATGTGTCAATGGGCGCACTGACCTGAGCAAAATGCAACTTATGCTCAGTGAGGCCGCCCTTTGGACGATCGCGGACAATGACGCCACGGCTGCAAAAGAAATGCAGAGATTAGTTGGATTTGAAATAGAAGCATATTAGGTGATTGACTTACCTATCAACCATCCAAATACGTGACTTGGCTTGCTCTTCGGAGAGACCCTCCTCCTGCATGGCCATGACGCACAGATTGGCAATGCCAAGCGCTGCTTCGCCAGCGCCCAAGAACAGCAGCACATTATCCTTCAGCTGGGTCTTCTTGATCTTCAGCGACGCCAACATACCCGCTATGGCCACAGAAGCTGTGCCCTGAATATCATCATTGAATGTGCAGTATTTATCGCGATACAGCGATAGCAAGCGGAAGGCATTAGCATTGGCAAAGTCCTCGAACTGAATGAGGCAATTCTGGCCAAAGCGACGCACGCAAGCGCGCATGAACTCATCGACGAAATCATTATACAGATCGCCCGTGGCACGTTTCTGACGCAGACCCAAATAGAGCGGATCTTCAAGTATGGACTCTGTGTTGGTGCCCACGTCCAGCGTGATGGGCAAACATTGGTTTGGCTTGATGCCAGCGAGAGCCGTATATAGCGACAGTTTGCCCACGGGTATGCCCATGCCATTGACGCCCAGATCACCTAGACCCAGGATGCGTTCACCGTCGGTCACAACAATTGCACGCACATCCATCTCTGGCCAGTTCTTGAGCACATCATAGACATGTCCCTTGTCCTTGATGGTGATGAACAGCCCCTTGGGCTTCATGAACCCCAGACTGAACTTCTGGCAGGCCAAGCCCACAGTGGGCGTATACACCAGCGGCATCATGTGGGTAATGTCCGAGCTGAGCAAATTGTAGAAGAGGCGTTCATGGCGCTCCGACAGGCCAATCAGATACATATACTTGTCCAAATCGTTGGGCAGTCGATTCAGTAAGAGACGACAGTGGTTCACCTGCTCTTGAAGGGTGCGCACCACATAGGGCAAAAGGCCTTGAATGCCCAAAATCTGACGCTCCTCATGTGTAAAGGCAAGACCCTAAAATGGAAGAGACACAGGAGGAGGATTAGATTAAGCTGGTACTTCCTTTGGCAACGCTTTGATGGCTGAAGCAAAAGTTTTGGAATTCAAAATAAACAGATAAAATTATAATGGTTTCATTGGGGGCGTGGCACATAAGGAAAATATATTTATGGAAGAACTAAGATCAGACACAAGTTTTGCTCTTGGATCCTAGTTGAACTCTTCCACTGATAGAGCTATATAAATTAAATGGTTTGGATTGGAATTAGTCTAGATTAGATTAGATTAATCAACAGCCGACTGTCAACATATGTCAAGATGTCACATCTGGTCGAACCGCTTATCAAAATAAGCCACGCGCCATAGACAACCTGTCTGGATGCGTGTCCATGTAGAGATCCATGCTGTTCCCGTGCCCATGGGCTGACAAACACGCCTCTTGACTGACCTTCGCCACAGCCCAAGCCGATAGCCAGTGAGATTTGCATGTGAAATGTACACAAATATATAAATATATAAATATATATATATATGCATATACTTATGCTTGAAGTTCAAAGTCAGACGCGAACAGCATCTCGAACTATATGTGTTAGGTGGGAGATTGCGAACCGGTATTCAAATGCATTTGGGGCATTCGTTTTGAAAGTCGAATATATGTTAGTTGGCTGACTCAGCGAGCGACTGGCCTCGATACGCCAGCAGCATGATTTGCAACAATTGAAAGTATTCAATTGGTTGGGTCTATTGTGTAATTGACTGATAGAAACTATATGGAATCGCCTGTGTGAGTGTGTGAAAATGTTTGTCTTTGCTGCTCGAGCAACTTCCTCTAGGTTGCCAGTCTACCTGACAATATGCATACGGCAGCCGTCAGCCGGCAGAAGCGCGTTCTTTGAGGGCTTTGCACAATGGCGAAATCGTGACAAGACAAAGAATAACTGATAGTTAGCTTCTGTGCAGTTGACATGTACATGCTTATACATTGTGGCAAAGGCTCACGCTTAGTCTGGGCTCATGTAATGGAACTTACTGCATTTATGTTGATTATAGTTGAAAGCGCTTTGTTTGAATTATATAAAGTTTTGTAATTGCAATAAAGTGATTAATAGGAACATTGTTTATATTAACTAGCATTAATAAAATATATTTATTAAAAAAATTAATGACGACTAACTTTAAAGGAAATTTCTAGTTAGAAAACTTAGGAAAAAATTTGAACAAATTTGCTTTATATGTAAACAAAATTTGATCAACTTAGGGCAACTTTATAAATATCTCTAAACATTTTATAATAATTTCAACTGACTATAACTTTTACTTTCAGACGATTACCTTTTTCATATAGCCTCAGCACACACTTATATCCGGTGATATAATGTCACGCTATTAAATTCATCATCAAATATATCATATTATAAAATCATAAAAATCAATTCGATATGTTTACAATAAAAAAGATTGTATAATAATTGTAAATGATATCAATAATAAGCAACTCGTGTGCTGAGCACAGAAATAGGAGAAAAATATAAACAAATCAAATTTCATTTAAGATTTGTTGATATTAATTGCCTTGTCTCAAGTTTGTTATATTCGATAATTGAACTTTACTTATATATGTGTTAACATTACGTTAGATATGCATGTTTTCAACTTATTAAATTTATCGATCGCGTGCCTTAACAATTTTATACTAATGATTTATACAAATTGGTTTTTTTTTTCTATTTACGAATTGATGACTAAACAGAGAATTCTTAATGGTATGCAAAATGCCTGAATATTGGCTATAATTTACACGAAAGAATAAAGAAAAACCCCAAATACTTGAAAGTGCGTCAGACATTGTGTAAAGTTTTATGCCAACTCATCCTGTGTTTTAGTAAATCAATGTGGAATGATCGCATCGGAGCTGCCTTAAAAAGCGAATAGCTAACCCCGGAGCAGTGGAAATGTTTCGCAGAGGCAAAGCAAATTAGATTTAATCTAATCAAATGATTTCAAAGCAAGACCCCATGCGGTGGCTGAGTGTCCAAAAAAAAAAAATGCTTTCAAGCAATCAACATAATTGATTCGTAAAGCTGGCAATAAGCGTTAGAAGCTCGTCGCACGTACGCCGCATTCTGTGGAATTAGCCAATGAAAAATAATTCTGGAACTGTTTATATCGTTTACGATACGATATAAACGTCATCAATGGTGCTGGTGAAATAGTGAGTGCGTTACTGTTGAAAACGACACCATTGACATTGAAGTAACGCCCGCTGTACGATAAGCGGTCGGTGCGCAAGAGCGAGAGAGATAGTGAGCGAGAGTGAGAGTGAGATCGTTCGCTTGGCAACAGGTATAACTGTTAGCTGCCGTTTCAACACGACGTTGTAAGCAATTCCCAGCGCTTGCCTCACAGCGCGTCACACGCAGCGTATACGTAATAATAAACATTTGGAGATTACGCATACGAATTTGCAAAAAAACCAAAATAAAACGAATACAAAAACAACTGGCTTGGCGCTCAGCTGATGTTTGCGTTGTCTGGCACGATCATCATTATCATTGTCATTATCAGCATTAGCATTAGCATTATCATTATTAAGAGACAGTCGCCCGTAACGGCGATAAGCGTGCAGCGGGAAACCTGACCTCAAAGCGATGACGACACCAACGGCGCTTACAACAAAAGATGCTGCCACAGACAATTTCACACAAATTGTTTCCTCTGTTCAAAAGCTGAAAGGTCGTTACAGTGAGTGTTTGGCTATCCGCAGTTCAAGCAACACGAATTTTTTTTAATCGGCGCAACGAATGTTGGAATATGACATGACAGCTACTTTAAAAATATATATTAACTATTTCAATAATTATGAAATTAATTAAGACTTAAGCTCATAGAAAGTATGTACTTTGCAGGGACAGAAGAGCTTTTTTCTAAATTAAATGTTCTTTACTATTATTTTTCTAGCACGAACTCGTTATTTACATACTGAACTACTGAAGTAAGTGAGCTCGCAGTTTCGCACGATAGAGCGCATTGACCCTATTAATTATTTAAATTTACTCACACATTTTGTGGGCACTTTAGCTATGTCAGACAGCCAAATCTAATATCAAAACATTTGAAAAGAAATCCTTATAACCGTGACAGAGTCGTTTTCGCATATATTTATTGTATTTTTAATTAGTGTGTTTTATCAGCATATTTTAAAGTCGACTTGTTTTCTATTAACCTTATCTTGCGCCTTAATTGGGCAGACATGCAAATAATCTGTCTATCACCATTTTTGTTTGGTTTGGTTTTGTGATATCCAAACAAATATTTTGTGTCAAATATATATATGAAAACAGATACTTGTATATATATATATATATGTATAAATATTTATAGAGTTTTGCCATTGTTTTGCTTCACGCTAAACTGTATTCAACTTTTGACGTAGGTCAGTTTTTGTCGCTGAGGAAGTGGTAGGTATTTAGTATATGCAATGCGATAAGAACTGGAAAAAATTTCCATTATGCAATGGAAACGTATAGGCAAAGTCTCAGAGAACAATTTATATATATACAAATGTATACATATGTATATATTATAATTGTCTACATGTAGAGCGTGTTAAATATATATAAGATATGAAAGCCCTGGTCAGATTTGATAAGAGCTCTTGAGTGTTATTGTAGGTCACCTTTAAAATGTTTTATTCTTATAATTTCATTTTAATTTATATTTTATTATTACCTTATAATGAAAACATTTTATATATATTATTAATATGTATATATGTATATATATATAAATGTATATATGTATATATATATATGTGTATATATATATGTATATATATATATACACATATATATATGTCAAAATATTTTGTAATACTATCTTGCAGCTTAATGATTCTGTATGGATTTGCTCATATGAAATTGCCTGTTCTTTCTATACAACTACAAGCGACCCTTACCCCACATATAGCTCACCATTAAAGTAAGCTCATGCGCATACTTCGCTCCCACTTGCACAACAGCAGTCACGCTACGCTCTGCCTCTCTTTGTCTCTCTTCCGCGATTTGCATGCAAATTTTATGCTCAACAAAAAATTACAAAACGTAGAGAGAGAGAAGGGAGAAAAAAAACATCAGCTAAATAGCATCTGCAAATTGGCAATGAACTTGGAAGTGTGAGCGTAACGGTAAAACGCATGCAACCCAATCGACAAATTGTTCACACTTAAGTTAATACTGCAAGTAGCTTATAGAATATATAATTTAATTTATCGGGTACTCAATTATAACAAGCCATCTACGTTTTATTGATTTTCTATAAACAATGCTGTCATCACCTAAAAACCGAATATGAAAAAAAATTCCATCTAATATGAGCTTTGGTCTTCCAGCGCGGCGCGTAGACGTACACTCTGCTTTGGCTATGTCATCTAAAGGTCAAGCAAGCCGGCAGCAACCAATTTTGTTTTTTTGACAAAATTGTTAGCTGACATTTGTGTTTAATAGCTATTTATTTTATTATTTATGAGCTTTCGTTTTTTGGCAGTCTGTGGCATAAAAATAGCAGCCAGAAATTGAGTAATATTTTGGTTTCAATAGGAGTGCTAAGGGCGTGAGCACTAACGAAAAATTTGTCAAGGTTTTATTAAATAATTCTAATAAGAAAGTCAAAATTATATTTGTTTTCTGTCTATAAAAATTAAATAGTGCTGTTTAGTGAGCTTTTTAGAATTTTTTTGTTAGTGTAGCGTCTAACAAGTAGCGCCAATTGTATGCTCATATATTTGTAGCTAATACATATCAATACGGAACTAAACATTTGTATGTATGTATATCTGAAAACAACCCCGCAATAGTCAGTCCGCACTCTTTGCTGGTATTTTTCCACTATTCGCGTGTATGGGAAGCTCGCGACTTTCTTAAAACTTACCTTATTGAAGCGCTTCATGCGCATACGATCGAATCCAGAGACATTGCCGACGATCTCGTTGTCGCCTGTGCCCCAAAGTCCGAGGCGATCACGCTGCAGATTGTTGCTCATGTTCTCGCTGTAGTTGCGTATTTGGTGCAAATTGTTGTTGTTTCTAGGGTTGCCAAGTAGTGATTGGACTTGGTTTTGGTGTAGCTCGTGCAGGCTCTGTTGCAGCTGCTGCCAGTGGCTCGAGGATAATATCGGTGGTGGCAAAGCTTCAGCTTCGTCTACACTTACTGCTCCTGCTTCGTCAACGTCGCGTTGCGTACTGATTTGTGTTGTGAGTTTTGCAAAATTGGAAAGTTCGTATTCGAGCGTTGTTGTCGTTGTAGTCGTATGATTTTTACACACACGACTACTGCGCCATTTCGCAGTCGCAGCGGCAGCGCAGTCACCATCACAGCTGCTCGTGCTCTCGTGTGTGTGCTTCGTGTGGGTATGTACGTGTGTTGGCTGTGCCGCGTTTATTTTGTTATTATTGTTGTTGCTGCCGCCGTTTCTCTCTTGGATGAGTGCGCGTGTGTACAAATCAGCTGTTTGACAGTGAGCGCAGCGTGTGCTATTGCTGCTGTTAGCGGTGCTGCCAGCGCCAGCGCCAGCGCCAACACCAACGCCGACGCCGACGGGAATTGTGGTCTTGTAATAGCCGTGCTCATTTTGTTGTTGCTGCTGCAGCTGCTGCTTATGATGATACGGTGTTGTTTGGCCATTGGAAGGGTTGTATGAATTGTTGGCCGTTGGATAAATCGGTGTGCTGTGAATGAGACAAAGAGAGAGAACGAGAGAGAGAGTGAGGGAAAAGAGTGAATATGAGAGTGAGAGTGCTTTGTGTGTAAGTTCGCTTGGGTAACTGTAAGTTAGGTGGGTAGGCAAAACGAATGCTCGTTCTCGGCATAACTTAATTATAAGATGAATACGTAAGAGGACCTTAGTCGGAAATGCCCGACTACGAAATACCCTGCACCTTGTGCTGAGCAACTTGATACTACCATAAAAAAAAAGCTGTTAACCTAGATTGTTTCGAAAATGAGAAACATCTATATTGATTTCATAATATCTTACACAGCGGGCATTTATCAGGTTAAGAGAGTCTTGAAGGTCCATGCTTTTAAGATATGATTAAGGTTCAATAAGAAAATTTTTAAACTGGCTTCGTCGATTCGGTTATTTAATCAGAATTCGAAAATGGCTAGTAATATATTTATCTATTCAATGCACCAATAATTACTGTCTCAATGTTTCTCAATTGCATTAATAATTAATCAATGTCACTTAAACACAAATCATAAAATATATAATATAGAATATTTGATGAAATTGAGGGCTATAGAAGAAGCCTTGTGCTTAACTTTATATAGCTTCAAAGAGCTACAGCGAAGATTACATCGACTAAGCTGATCGTTCCGATGAACAATATATATTTTAAAGAGTTTGTGATGTCTCCTCGCTTCAATAATGTAAATTTGCACAAAACCATAATACCTTAAGGTCTCGTTTTCAATGGGTATATAAAACAAGATGTGATGTTATGTGCTTGACATTGTTGTGACTTAATAACGGCACTTGATGGAAGAGAAAAGGGAAAAAGAGCAATGAATAACTTGTACCTCACATTATGCTGTAGACTTCAGGAGTTAAAAAAATAAACTAGTTCACTGATATGTTTTTGTTTTGTTAAGTAATAGAAATGTGCATTGATTAAAAATATGCTTAGTTTTAGCAAAACATTAAGAAACAGGTGATGCTTGGCACAGCAGACTAGACAAATCAGCAGTAGAGATAAGAATTGTGCTACGCCCACTTTCTGCTCCCGGCAGATGGGTACAGAGTACACTGATATTGTTTATATATAAGACATATAGTACATATGTATATATATATACATACTGCTTGATTCGTCCAAAAGCTTTAATCGAGGAAAAGCGCTGCAGAGTTGCGTACATGCTAAGCACTTTCAATTTCGTCAATATATATGGAAAATTTTGATATCTTAAATTAAAACGTCTATATAGGTTTATATAGAACTACGTAAAATTCTGGTGTGACCGAAACGCTCTAGAACTAAAATGAAACTGACTATAGAAAGTTAAGGGGTTTTCGTTGGGGCACTTCGTTTTGTATTTTCCAATTACACTTTGTAGTTTTCATCGCATTTGCTTTCGCTCAGCCTAGAAGCATAATGAGCGAGAGCCAACAGGGAATATATATTTATGTACTTACATACAAATTGACTGATAAGACCAGACTAACTTTATGACAATCAATCAGGGCATAAAAACATTTTGCTTCAACAATTCGTAAACAATTCGCAATGCAAACAAACAGAGGCGTCACGTGATTCAAAAGTGATTGAAGGGGGACCGACTTAAGTGATGTTAAATAATATACATATTTATATATAAATATATTTTCCATATTTTATGTTATGTTGTTAAATAATATATATATATGTAAATAAATATATTTCAAATATTTTTCATACACTTATATGTATATATAGAAAATTTAATATATAAAAGAGTGTGTCTGTGTGGATGTTATCATAAAATTAGTCGAATAATAATTCCCTATACAGGTCTAAATAACAAATGATAAAAAACCATTTCTAGTTCGCAGGATGTGCAGTAAAGAAAGGAACCTACATGGATTCTATAGATCTAATATCTCTCTTTTGTAATGAATTTTTGAATTAATGGCTATAGATGGATAAATATGTAGATAAAAAACACTGCCTTGCAGCAGATAGTTTCGATTTATAGCGAGTGCCAGACAGAAAAAGATCTAATCTATCAGCTCAAATCTAATACATTCCTGCATTGACCTCGCATGTCGTCCCGGAATAAATATATAGTTCAAGTACTGCCCCCCTCAATGCGTGTTAAATATCGTGACAGACTTATCATAGCCCGCAGCAAGGGTAAAAATTGTAAAGTCGAGTCTCGCATAGAGCCACAGCCCAATGCCAAAAGCTGATCCACAAAAACTGAAAGTCAATCTCAGACTGGGCGATTTTACACACATGTGTCTAACCTTCATAAATATTAATAGGTTAAACTTTTTATTTTGTTTATTAAATTTCGTATTTTTTCGTGTTTTTTTTATTGTGAATTTTTTATAGGATTTTGTGATTGTTTTCTATAATAACCTTACCAGACACACGCACACATGTATTGCGAGTATGTGTGTGTTTTTTGTGACTGCAAGTACATCGATTAAATCAGTGCCCGGCCACGCCCACAGGCATATACAATACTAACTACCGAATGGAGGCGTGTTTTTTATTTGTGTTTTAGGGGTCAGTGAAACGCGCTTAAATCGCTATTAAAACGCTAGTGAATCGCACCATTAAATGTTAATTACATGTTGTACTGAAAGGACGAACAGGCAGACTGGGCGTGGTCACACGCCTTTCATGTGCTTGTGTACTGAGAACAAACTAAGAAGCTACAATAATCTAATCGACATTTAGGTGGATATGTACATACATATGGATATATACAGCTGGGAAAAATAGAATAGCACCATGCTCACAGGTAATTTGAGTTCAGTCATCGAAGCTACCTTTGTTGGCTTGAGTTGGATTAATATGTTGTCAATAAACATCAATATGTAAGTCAATACGTTTTTCATCAATGCGTAAATTTATTATGGTGGTGCTATTATTTTTCGCGCTGTATTTTATTTATCTAGTACCAAGTGCTTAATAAATTATTAGTTATTGAATATGAACACTACTACACTAATTGTTGCTTAGAGGTAAAGTGTAATCTAATCTATGGTGTATCATTATATATCTGAACTAAAAAAATAACCTTAAGTAGACTTTTGTATTACAATAAGAAGTATTCTAAGAATTATTCTAAGAACAACTTCAACTTCTCGCAGTAATTATGTCAAAACGGGATGCAGTATAACTGTTAAAAGTATATTCAGTCTGACGTAAAGCTGTTCAATCAAAAACTTTGTGCTTTTATAAAAAATTCGCTAAGTATACCTTACAGCATACTACTATAACAATTATAGTTCTATAGATTTTCAGAGCGCAGAGTTTCTCAAATTCTTTTCAACATGAAAACTTTTTGCTGTTTTATATATTTATATTTTATTTGTCCTATCAATCTATCAGATTTAATTAAACTCTAAGTTTCGCCAGCTTCAATTGTATTTCGTACCAAAAGTTCACTTTGTTATTTGCTGATCACAAAACTAATCAAGCTGCCCTCGCACACACACTTTTCTCTTGTACTTTCTTACCCATTTTCATCAAAATTCCTTATAGCATTGCGATCGGCGCAAAGTGAACTCGAATTGCCCATTTTAGCAAAGTTATTTTTTTTGTTCTATTTAAATAAATAAACAGTTGTAAATATAACAAGAGTGTATAACAGTTAAAACACCGCAAGGACAGTTCATAAATTATTTAAGACATTCAACAATATTAGAAATTTATTTTTTTAATAAACTATATTTAACTTCTTTTTGTTTGCCGAGCGCTAGTCAACTGTGATTCGAGCGAAACTGAATTAAAAACTAAAGCTAAAACTAAAACCCGCCTCGGCCACTTGTTACAATCAAAAATGTTGTCGCATGGCCAAAGGAGAAGGCGACTGACGATGAGTGCAAGGCGTCGGTGCAAGGGAGACGGCATTATGCAAACAGCTTGGCTCGCTCTCACACGCGGTCAGCGGCACGCGATGCTTGTTCGCGATGACAGGTGGCGTGTGTGTGAGTAAAAGGGAGTGCGAGCAGGAGAGAGAGGTTGAGTCACACAGTTTGGCGCTCCACACAGCTGTTTAATTGGACGCACAGCCTTATTATGCGCTTATGTTGAGTCTCAACATTTAGTCACGTAGTGAGTAACGCATAAGAGCACACAGTTCATTATGCATGTATGTGCATGTCACGTACATATGTGTTTGATAGGTGTTGATTCAGCTTGGCTCGTCTTAAATTTATTATTTGCTTAGTTTTATTTTTGGGAGTAGCACTAATAGATGTTTAGAATCGAATAATATTTATAATATTTATATATTATTTTAACTGAAGTGTATTCAGTGTTCGTTGTGTGGCTCTTTCGTGTTTCACCTTAACTGTTTGTACATGGCAAGTTGGCCACTTGGCCAGTTGGTTAATCGCTGTGACCTTAGCCGCAACAAATTGCATAAAGTCGTTGTTCGCTGTTCGTTGTACATGTTGCGCGTGGCTAATGAAAAAATAATAATAATAACAATAATAATAATAATAATCACTTACCCAGTAAGTGTAACAAACGCACTGACCATCGTTGCACTTCAACGAACTCAACTCCTGGGGCTCAAATATTTCCTATACCTCAAGTCTAGTCAGATAATTAATTGACTAGAAATCAAACGTTTTTTTGCTCTGTAAACAAGTTATATTTCAAATTTATAAATATTTAAAAAATCTCAAAAGAAACTTATCTTAATTTGAGCTCTAACATTTATTTATCTATAATTATTAATTTCCTTTAGGTAATAAACAGAGCATGTAGCGTGTGGTTCGTTTTGCTGTTCGTACGTCTTGAGCTCATCAAGAGTCCTAAGTTTCGGAATAAGTATTCGTGTATACCCTCTCTTTAAAGTATTAAGATCTTTGAGTTTATGCTCACTGAGGGCTTGAGAAATCGTAAAGAACTTCTATATGCTTCGGTTGATATTCCCAACATTTTACTACCAAAAAGTTCTATGAATAAACTCTTAAGAGGCGTGTTAAATAAAGAATAAATAAAAATAAAAACGAATATATAAAAAGTTAAAATATATGTACAAAATCAAAAATAAAATGCAACTCCAATTAATTGCAATCTATAAGACATAAAATAATGAATTAAACTTCATTTGGAACAATTTCCACTATTTTTATGATAAGCCAATTTTCAATGCATCTCTCTAAAATTGTGAACAATTAATTAACTTTCATCGAAAGTCGCGGAATATTTTCGTACTTCTCTTCTTTACATTCTGGTCTGTAAATAGATATCTTTCATTTTTGATTTTGAACTGTTAAAAAAAATTCGTTAATTAATTGATGCTTTACATATGATCTAGATATAATAATAATACATAATTATATATATATATATATCATTAAATTGATCTATAACAAGCTGAACAGAAATCTAAATATTATTTTTTTAAATTTAAATTTATTAATTTCTTCTTGTAACAAAATTTAGAGTATGGCTAAGTCGACTTGACTCTAGCTTTACCTAACGTCGCGGATGTCAATTCTCCAATTTCGTAATTTTAGTGATTCGACGTTGATTTAGTTGTCATTTAAGTTGCACAAAAACTTTTAATTAACTTAACTCTATTTCTCTTATTTTTCTTTTTTGGCTTTGCAATTATTTTGTATAAACAATACGAAACGCTCTAATGACTAGTTGTATTATCTGTACAGTTATAGCCATTAGGCCAAGTGAATTCAGTTAAGCATTTGTTGAACATGTTTACAAAGCTTTAGCCCAAATATCAATTTGAATAATCTCAGTTTTGAATGCGAATTCCATTGCTATGAAGTATTCAAGGAGAGTTCAAATGCAGTTGACTTGACTTTGTCTTTTTATGCATTACTCAGTTTGACTAATTAATGCTAAAAATATTTAAGCAATTAGTAACAGCTTACTTGTATTTTCATTATATTTTGATTTCTGTATAATTTGAGTGTCTTTTAAGTACAAAATAATATTTTTAAAACTAAATAATATTTCATTTTAGTAATTTATTTAATTTTATATTTTTCTTTTATTTTTTATTTTTTATTTTTATTAACATTTAATATATATTTATATATATTCATAAAACACATGTATTGTGCTACACTTCTTAACAATAGATGGCATTGCTAGCGGGTTGATGTCTTTGCTAAGCGGCTGCTTGCGTTGTATGAACTATAGGTGGCGCTAGCCTTAGGCTTAGCTAAATGTTTTTATTTTATTTAAGTAATTGAAGTATTTTGAATTCTTAAGAAATTAATTGATGTTGAAAAACATTAAAGGGTCCATTTTCAGATATTATATTATATCCCAGACCAACGCAGTCTGATAATTTATATGCATACAAAAATGCCTTTGTCAACTATCCAGTCAATATGAAAAGCTTCAAAACTACTAGTTAAATTAATGTATCTTTTAATAAGCCACGTCTTAAATGGATTATTATTATTGCTGTTGCTGCCGCTGTCGCGGCTGCTGCTGCAGTTGCTGCTTTAGCAGCTGCTTTGCCAACAATTTGCTGCACAACGAGCAGACAACCCCAAGCTGTACCCCTTTTGACTTAGATTTAATAAAGGCTCGCAGCAACAAAAGCAATTGAGGGTCCACTTTTATAATCAAATGATTTTCTTTCAGCTAAGCTGGGCACAATTTCCACGGCGCTGCAGTCACGTCAGCTGCATGTCCTGCACATGTCTATACACACATACATATAGACATGAGTGTGTGTGTGTTCAGCGGTAATCTATCATAATTTTTATATCCTAAAATCCCATTTTCGTATTGGAGCAAAAATGTCTGCGAGCAAATATAATAAAATGGCCAACACATCGACGTGAAGGCAGCTACTGCACGCGGCTCAAGCGCAGGCCAAGCACTCACACACACATACACTCGTCAAAGCATAACACACACACACACACACCCACACACATGCACATGGGTGGACATGGCATGCCAACAGTATGAAATTCCAGTCAAGCGCTTGCTTTCGTTCCTATTTTTGTTAGCTTTTCTTTGCTTCCTTTTTTTTTGCACCCTTTTCAAAACTTGTTGTGCACGTGTGTGTGTGTGTGTGTGTGTGTGTGTGTGTGTGTTTGGCTTAGCTGCACTTGTCGCGTTTTATTTTTCAATGCCTTGGCTTTGGCTAGCACAAAAAAAAGAAAACGTTCAAATAGCCAACAATTTTATGAGTCTCTTACAGACACACACACACACAGCAAGCACTTTTTATATGCTTGTTGTCGTTGTCTAATGCATTGTCCTTGCTCAACACACACATAGACATATTCATATAGACATTCAGATAGCAGTGCAATTATCTTGGCGAGTTCTTAATAATTGAAGAGCTTCACATTTTTCGCCAATAAATTAAATTCTCAGAAATATTTATTAAAGAAAATTTTCTTAGAATTTAATATATATATATATATATATATAAATATAAATATATAGATATATATATAGATATATATATATATGTATATATAGATTTCATTATATTCATATATATATATATATATATATATATGTATATATGTATATATATAGATTTCATTATATTCAAACAACTTCCTCCTTACTATATAAAAAGCTCTTCATCATAATTTCTCAGCAATTAATTTAACTTAGCGTAAATAAGCTTGAAATACTCAAGAAAATTAAAACTTCTGTTTAACTATTTTAATAAGCTTTACTGCTAGGTTTGAGCTTGAAATAATGTTGAAAATAGTTGACAAAATGAGTTTGTTTATTGTTATCTCCATTGAAATTCAAACACATTAAGCTCTGTAGAAAGCTCTAGAAGCTTCGATTATAGACAAAGCCAATCAACTTTATTTAGACAGAAAGTAAAAATTAGCTCAGAAGCTTTAAAGAGTTCTTTTTAGTTTAACAATTCAAACATATTATAAAAGCTTTCGAGCGCATTATAATTAGAGCTTTTCAATATGCATAGTTCAGATTTAAAAAACTTGATAAGACGCTTTAAGCTTTGTCAATAACTTTAAAAGCATCTTAAATGTGGAGCTTTTTATAAGTAAGTTATCAATCAATGTGCATGTGAGCTTTGAAGCTTTAAAGTCTTTATACTTTGAACAATTTAAGTGAAAGCACATTAAAAATACTTGCAAGTTCTCTTGAAGCCGTGCAGCTTGCACGCCAACTTTAATATAAATTACTATATAGCAGCGCAAGCTTGCCTGTCTATGCTTGCTGGCATGTAATTAATTTTTTAATAATAATTATAATAAAAATAATATAAAATGCAGTCCATGAAATTGCCGCATGTTGCACCAATCGACAACAAAAGCAGCAAACGATTTTGCATTTACCTTAAACTCGGATTGGCAAATTGATAAAAAAAGCGACAAAGTGAGGCGTAAACGACTGCGTAATACTTGTTCAGCTTGCCAAAAGTTGTTAAGAGGCATCAAGTATTGATAATTTTAGATTAGATATAGAATGAGACCATAGCTTGGTCGTATTCAATTGTCAAAATATAAAGACTTAGACTGGCATTGCACTCAACCTATATACTCGTTTGCAATTTGTGAACGAGCATTAACACATTGTGCGCGGCTTAAACCGCTAAAAGCTGAACAAATGATTGCGTAAAATTAACTTTAAGCAGATGCTGTTTAA